GCTGTAGAGCATTCAGCAGTATGTTCTTGTGTTTTTTAGGGTTTAGGGTTTAGGGTTTGGGGTTTGGGGTTTGGGGTTTAGGGTTTGGGGTTTGGGGTTTGGGGTTTGGGGTTTGGGTTTTCGAGAGTTTTGCGGTTGGAGCTTTTGCGGTTTTGGTTTTCATCGGCCTCTTGCACTCGCTAGCCCTACTGTGTTTGAAGGGCTGCCGCGCTCCCTTTTCAGGGTCGCGGCTCCCTTGACGTGGACATAGCCAGACACCTACAGGTTTGCTTCATAAACATTGTACTGTGTTAGTTCAAGGGGTTTAGGGTTTGGTGGCGCAAGCCTACGTCCCGATAACTCCCAACAGCATGGTAGTTCTTTAGATTAGGGTCCCTTGTGGTCCTTCTTTTGTAAGGGTGCCGTACTAAATACCAGACCTAAAAAACGACTCTAATTTAGAGAACTTAGGGTCGGTCCCTTGTCTGTTGTGGGGGTCCTTCTCTTAAAGGTGCCGTAGTATATACAAGACCCAAGAAACGACTCTAATGTTGAAAACTGCCCATCTGGACCCCGAGCAGGTTCGGCCAACCTTGATCCTGGGCGCAAAGCAGCAGATGCAGCGCGAGGACGCGCCCTAAACCCTAAACCCTCAACCCTAAGCCCTAAACCCTAAACCCCAAACCCTAAACCCTAAACCCTAAACCCTAAACCCTAAACCCTAAACCCTAAACCCTAAACGAGAAGTTTGGGTGCGATGCAAGGTCCTTCTGAGGGCTATTTTATGGTTGGCTGCAAGGTTTCAGGCTTCTGCCTTGGGGGAGCTGCTTCTCAGCCCTAAACCTCACACCCTACACCCTAAACCCCACACCCTAAACCCTCAACCCCAAACCCATACTCTAAACATCCCGAAGCCTTCCGACCTTGGGGCGAGGAAATTGCTGGAGGCTGTCAGGTCCTCATATGAAGATCGCACCTTCTCAGAAGGTCCCCCTATCGAGAGCCATTCTAGTTGTGGGGCTTACAACGAAAGTTTTCGGACGAATCGCCCGATTTCGGGTCCCTGGTAGACCTCTACTTGTGGCTAGGGACCCGTCCTTGTTAGCCCTGGGGGGTCGATGCCTCAGAATTGTCAACGCTAGCCCTAAACCCTCAACCCTAAACCCCAAACCCTGAACCCTAAACCCCAAACCCTAGTAACCCTAAACCCTCAACCCCAAACCCTAAACCCCAAACCCCAAGCCCATTCTTCAGTTCCACAGGCACCTGTTCCTTAAGCCCTCAGCTCTAAGCCGGGTTAGCCCGAAGTAGAGGTCACTGAAGAGCCCTCCGCCCCCTGCCCCCCCCTCCCTCTTTAGGGTTTAGGGTTTAGGGTTTAGGGTTTAGGGTTTAGGGTTTAGGCTTTAGGGTTTAGGGTCTTGCAGGAGGCGGAAGCCAAGCTGAAGGCGATTTCCGCGGAGGTGGTGAAAGTGGACTCCGAGGCCAAGCAGGCGGTGACGCAGGCGAGGCCTTAGTGGTTCAAAACCCGAAACCCTGAACCCTAAACCCTGAACCTTAAACCCTGAACCCTAAACCCTAAACCCTAAACCCTAAGCCTCTTATACGGTAGTCTTCTTCTGAAAGTTTGAACCTTGTGCCCCATGGGTATTTGGGAAGTAAGACGCGCAAGAAGGGGGCAGGGGTGTGGGGGCTCGCAGAGTCCCTAGAGACCCGAAGCCCCGAAGGCTGAAGCTCAACGCATAAGCCCTAAGCAAGCCAATGAACAACCTTAAGCAACAACCTTAAACCCTACTTAAACCCTAAACCCTAAATCCTCTTTTTTTTAACCACCCAGGGTCGAGGCTTGATGAGATTAGGGTCCAGAGGACACCCAGAAAACCCTGTGAAGCGTGCAAAAGCCCCAAGCACTTGCAAGGGTTCAGGGTTTATGTGGAGTGTACTAGGGTTCAGGGTCTTGGTTTTGGTTTTTTGGGCGTTAATGGGTTTAAGGCTTGATTCTAAATATGGGTGAGTAGGATCTGTGCCCTTATTCTTGGTCCCTTGGCAGTAGCACAGGCCCCTAGAATTCGCCCCAAACCACAGAAACCCTAGACTACCTAGAGAAAGTCGCTGTTTTTCAGGGTTACAGCTAGCCTGCTCTGGTTGAGAACTGAAAGGCGACCTCCCTCAGCGGAAACCTGTCCAACTCGCAGAATTTGCTGCAGGCGGCTGGGAAGGGATTTAGGCCGCAAGCCCGATTCCTAGTATAGGGGTCGGAATACTTACTAATATTGTTCCCTTCTGGTCCCTATAATGATACTATGATAACCCCGCGAAGCCCTATTCTAATTATTAAGGCCCCTATACCAGGCAGGTTGGGTTCGCAAGATTCCACCAGGGTCACTGAGAGGCTCAAGTTTTTGGAGGAAAGGGGCCATACAAGCCCGCACCAGCAACCCCCCCCCCCCCCCCCCTCTACTAGGGGCTCGAACGGAAAATGTATGATGCATTAGGTGCCAACGTGGGAGGGTTTCACAATACTAATTACTAGGGATACGGCCTTGGCCCATACATGCTACCACTGAACGCCCGAAAGGGCCTTGGGCCGAAGACACTGATTATGGCGTATCCGGCTTAGGGCCCATGCACATTAGCGGCATACATTTCATTGAAATGCAAGCGGTTTCTAACCCTAAACCCTAAGCCCTAAGCCCTGAGCCCTGAGCCCTAAACCCTAAACCCCAAACCCTAAACCCTAAACCCTAAACCCTAAACCCTTTTGGGTTTAGACTTTGGGTCCGGACTTCAGCTTGGAACCCTCAACGCGTAGCTCCCCTCCCCTCCCCTTCCCTCCCGTTCCTTAGCCTCAGGTCCTGAACACTAAACCCAAAACCCCAAAACCCCAAAACCCCAAAACCCCAAAAACCCCAAAAACCCCAAAACCCCAAAACCCCAAAACCCCAAAACCCCAAAACCCCAAAACCCCAAAACCCCAAAACCCCAAAACCCCAAAACCCCAAGCCCTCAACCCTGAACCCTAAACCGCAACCCGTAAATCCTCAACCCTAATCTCCAACACCTAAACCCTCAACCTTAGTAGTACAGTAGGTAACCTTTAACCTTTTGGAGTATTCCAATCCCTACAAAAACCCAAAGATCAACCTTTAATTCCCCCAGGGTACTGGACAACTAAGCAACCCTGAACCCTGAACCTATACACCCCCTAAACCCTAAATCCTAAACCCTAAACCCTAAACCCTAAACCCTAAACCCTAAACCCTAAACCTACCAGGCTGAGCAGCTCCTGAACCCCCACACTACCGCCATGATGGAGGCAGGGCAGCTGAAAGCCTACCACGGTCTTGGGGTTTAGGGTTTGGGGTTTAGGGTTTAGGGTTTGGGGTTTAGGGTTGGGGTTTAGGGTTTGGGGTTTGGGGTTTAGGGTTTGGGGTTTAGGGTTTAGGGTTTGGGGCTTAGGGTTCAGGGTTCAGGGAGTTCGGGGAGTTCAGGGGCTTCCCAGCTGCTAAGACACACAAAGGAAAGAAGACCCACGGAGACCGCGCCTTGCTTCATTCCTTGGATCTTTGCGAAACCCTAAACCCTAAACACTAAACCCTAAACCCTAAACCCTGAGCCTGAAACCCTAATCCCTAAACGACATTGCAGGTGCAGCGCAAGCTGCAAGAGGCGCAGAAAGGACAGCCGCCCGACGCTAGGATGCTCAGTAGTATTCGTTTTGTTTTTTTGATGGGGTATTAGGATCTTTCATGACCACCATATTATATACACCTACACCCTAAACGCTGAACCCCAAACCATGGAAGTTGGGTCACCCCTAAACCCTAGTCCTGTAGCTGGGCACCGATTACAAGGTCTTCAAGGGATCTCGGCAACCTTCGGGAATCCTACGGGGGTGTGTCAGTAATTACTAGGTAAACCCTAACCCTAAACCCCAAACCCTAAACCCTAAACCCTAAACCCAAACCCTAAACCCTAAACCCTAACCCTAACCCCTTAAACCCTCGACCCTAAACCCGTCCCCACTTAGGATGTGGCGAGAAACTTCCAGCAGCTCGCCAACCAGCTGAGGCCGCAGTGGGGCTTGAGTTCCAGGGTTTAGGGTTTGGGGTTTAGGGTGTACGTAGGGTGTAGGGTTTAGGGTCTACTTGGAGGTTCATGTCATGGGTAGTTACAAGTAAGGGTCACATGTACCAGAATAGGGCTACAAGTATAGTTGCCAACCGCCCCAATACCCCCCCCCCCCCGATATTTCAGCTTCGGGTTTAAGGCTTAGGATTTAGGGGTTAAATGTTTAAGGTTTAAGGTGTGTTGTGGGGCTTACAGGATCTAGTCGTTGAAGACGTGGGGCTTGAAGTTATGTTTTTTTTTGAGGGCTTAAAGGGCCAACCTGAATTTCTACAGGGAGCCGGGTCCCTACTTGGAGGCTCATGGTACTTAAAAACCCTAAACCCTAAACCCTAATACCCTAAACCCTAAACCCTAAACCCTAAACCCTAAACCCTAAACCCTAAACCCTAAACCCTAAACCCTAAACCCTAAACCCTAGCCCTAAACCCTAAACCCATAAGCACATTAGGGAACTTCAGGGGCGTATAAGTTGGACCCCTAAGGCTGTACCCTTGGGTTTGGGGACCAGGGTTTAGGGTTTAGGGTTTAGGGTTTAGGGTTTAGGTAAGCCCTAAACTACACTCTAAATCCTAAACCTTGAACCCTATAGGGGCTCTAGGGTTTACAGCGTGTTCAAGGCCCCTATGTATAACGGGGTATATAAAGGATACCAGGGGTATTGGGCACGGGCACACATCGTTCTTCTACACCCTTTACGGCCCTTTACGTGGCCGGTCCTCATTTTACCGTCCTTGTGCACTTTGTTGAGTCGTGCTTGAAAGTTGTTGTTGGGTTTACGCACAGGCGGATTCCCAAATCTCGATGGGCCTCGTCCCTAAACCCTAAACCCTAGACCCTAAACCCTAAACCCTGAACCCTAAACCCTAAACCACACCCTTCAGAGCGCAGCCAGGATGACGCAGCAGCAGGCGCAGCAGATGATCAACAAGTTCCGCCAGTCGCGCGTGCAGGCACCAGACCCCAACCACTCAAAGGGTTTAGGGTTTAGGGTTTAGGGTTTAGGGTTTAAGGGACAAGAAGCTGGTTCTCAGTAGGGAATGATGGAATTAGGGCCCTGTTTAATCCTTTAAAGGGCGTATCTAGGGACCTCATTCTCTCATTCCCTACGATTAACCAGGGGAAGACCTAAATCAACCCGACCCCCAGACTCCCAGACCTTGCTTGCCCTAAGTAAGTATCCTAAGTACCGTATGCGCCCTTGGGGGTTTAGGGTTTAGGGTTTAGGGTTTAGGGTTTAGGGCTCCGAAACCCACCCTAAATCAGATGCTAGCGGGTTGCAAGGTAAGTTTGATGACAGCCGGGATGATTGCGATATGTTGGATGCAGGGCCGACGATTCGGTGCCTAAACCCTAAACCCTAAACCCTAAACGGCGAACATTAGGATTTAGGGTTTCGGAGGTTTGGGGACTTTTGAGCCTCCTGAGCTGGAGAACCTCCGGCAGAGCAATATCCTTTTATGACGCTTGGCAAAAGAGATCGCAAATAAATTGGAGAATTGAAGGGTTTAGGGTTTAGGGTTTAGGGTTTAGGGTTTAGGGTTTAGGGTTTAGGGTTTAGGGTTTAGGGTTTAGGGTTTAGATCAGCTTGCCGACTTGGACGAGTCTCGAGCATGGGATGAGCGGTTGCCCTCCTAAACCAAAGTCTTAAGTTTGAAGCCCTCAACCCTAAACCCTAAACCCTAAACCCTAAACCCTAAACCCTAAACCCTAAACCCTAAACCCTAAACCCTAAACCCTAAACCCTAAACCAACCCTAGAGCCTCTAACAGCACTCAACCCTAAACCCTACTTGGAAGCTCCTTTGGCTCATGAGTGTGCCCTAAAATTCCCTGCAATAGCCCCTAACTCTACGTACGAGGGCTTCCCTAAACCCTCAACTCTCAACCCTCAGCCCCAAACCCCAAACCCCAAACCCTAAACATTAAACCCTAAACCCTAAACCCCAAACCCTAAACCCTAAACCCTAAACCCCAAGCAGCAGGCCGAGTCGCAGGCAAAGATGGCAGAGGCGGAGCTTCGGGAGACGAAGGCCTTCGAGGCCTCGCGGGGGTGGGGGGTTTAGGGTTTAGGGTTTGGGGTTTAGGGTTTAGGGTTTAGGGTTTGGGGTTTAGGGTTTAGGGTTTTGGGTTTAGCGTGAGAAGCTGAAGGGTCTTTTAGGGTTAACCCTGAACCCTAAACTCTATAGCCCTAAACCCTAACCCTAAAGAGTTTCCGTGGGCTTGGCTTGCTTGCTTTGAGGGTTTCAGGAGGGTTGGGGGTTCAGTGGTCTGAGGTGTTTGGGGGGCAGGGTTTAGGGTTTGGGGTTTGGGATTTAGGGTTTCGGGCTAGGGGTTTAGGGTTTAGGGCTAGGGTTTTGGGCTAAGGGGCACTGAGGGTCTGAGGGGTTTGAGGCTGTGAGGGTTGCACCCCTGAGGGTCCCCAGCACAAAACTAAGCTGGACTGACTTAGTTTTATTGTGGTGCAAGGGTTGTGTTTCGGGTTTAAGGGCGTAAGGCTTAGGGTTCAGGATTCAGGGTTTGGGGATAGGGGTTATTTAGGCTTAGGGCTTAGGGTTTTGATTTTATCGAACCATCTTGCCAGGACCTGCTCCCAGACCTCAGCCAGAAGTGCACAGCAGCTGAGGAGGCCATCGAGAAGGCTGGGGGTTCATGCTCTGGGGGCCTAAACCATCCTAAGTTCCCAAACCTAAAAGCCTCTAAATCCTAAGCCCTGAAGCCTCCTAACCCCTAATTCCTAAGCCCCAAACCCTAAACCCTTCAAACCATAAACCCTCAATCTTACATCCTAAACCCTGAACCCTAGTCTAAACCCCAAAACCTCTAGTCTTTCGGTTCCCAGGATCCGCGTGCAAGGAGCCATGAGCTCAAACCGTCCGAGTTGCCCAAAAGTTGGGTTTGGGGTTTGGGGTTTAGGGTTTAGGGTTTAGGGCTAGGCTTCCTTAAACCTTAAGCCCTAAACCCTGATTCTTTGGTTTTAGGGTTCAGGCCCTCATTCCGGGCTTAGGGCTTCGGTTCCCTTGCTGCCAAAGGGCTGCCCTGTTTATTCCAACCCTAAACCCTAAACCATAAGCGCCCTAAAAGGCCCTGAGCCCTAAAAAGCCCTAAGCCCTAAGCCCTAAGCCCTAAGCCCTAAGCCCCAAAAGGCCCTAAACAGCCCTAAAAAGCCCTAAAAAGCCTAAGCCCTAAGCCCGAAGCCCGAAACCCGAAACCCTAAACCCTACCCTTGGCTCGCGAAACCCTTAACCCCTACCCCTCAAGCCGATACAAGGCGATAGCCACCCACGAAGCCATCGCTGCCTCCGGGGAAGCCACGAGCCAGGCGCAGCTTCGTGGGGGGGGGGGGGAATGTAGGGTTTAGGGTTTAGGGTTTAGGGTTTAGGGTTTAGGGTTTGGTTGGGGGGAATGGCCGGCTTCCACTCTCCAGGGTTGCTCCAGGTAGGATGTGTCACTGAGCCGCGGCTCGTTGCTAGTTAAGCGGGTTCAGGGTCTAGGGTTTAGGGTTTAGGGTTTAGCGTTTAGGGTTTAGGGTTTAGGGTTTAGGGTTATTAGTGTTCAGGGTTTAGGGTTTCGGGTTTACATTGTGTATTTCCCATCTTGGCGTTTAACAGGAGCAAACTTTACAGAGGGCGCCAGGGGGCCAACCCAGCAGAATCTAAGAACCCCAAACCCCAAACCCCAAACCCCAAACCCCAAACCCTAAACCCCAAACCCCAAACCCCAAACCCCAAACCCCAAACCCCAAACCCCAAACCCCAAACCCCAAACCCCAACCCCCCAACCCCAAACCCCAAACCCCAAACCCCAAACCCCAAACCCCAAACCCCAAACCCCAAACCCCAAACCCCAAACCCTAAACCCTAAACCCTAAACCCTAAACCCACTCCACAGTGCAGGTCTCCTCGAGCGTCGAGGAAACCGAGGTGGCCGTGAGGGAGGCGGAGAAAGCAGCCAACGAGGCGAGCCTTTTGCCGTGTCTTTGGGAGTGTGTGGGGTTTAGGGTTTAGGGTTTGGGGTTTAGGGTTTGGGGTTTGGGGTTTGGGGTTTGGTGTTTAGGGTTTAGGGTTTAGGGTTTAGGGTTCAGGGGGTTTAGGGAGTTTAAGGGGTTTAGGGGCTTTAGGGGGTTTAGGGAGTTTGGGGAGTTTAGGGAGTTGGGGTGGCTCTAGGGTGTGCCACCCAAGTGGCCCAATACTTTCTTAAGGAACAAACGGTAAATCATGATAGGGATCCTAGTATGATTCGAGGTATGTTCCTTCATTAGTTGGTGTTGGGCTCACTGGGTATAGGGTTTAGAGATTTTGTGTCCCTAAACCCTAAACCCTAAACCCTAAACCCTAAACCCTGGACTGGGTTCGGGGTTTGTCTTTCCAGAGACTGCCAGACTCATGTGGAATGTTCCCTAGATTGCAATCGGGATCTGGATATGGGCGGGGGCGGCAAGGGTTTAGGGTTTAGGGTTTCGGGTTTAGGGTTCAGGGTTTGGGGTTTGGGGTTTGGGGCTTAGGGCTTAGGGTTTAGGGTCTAGGAACCCTCAACCCTAAACCCGAGAGCGCAAGCCAACCTGTTGCCAGCTTGAAAACCCCAAGCACCCAGCACCGCGCTCGCAGGCCAGCGTGCTGCTTCAGGCATCTTGGCAGCGTAGGGTCCCCAAACCCTTGAATCCCCAAATGCCTCATATAGCCCTTAAACACCTACTCCTCCAGGCCCAGACCCAAACCCTCTTGGTCCAGGGCGTGGATGGCGATTGTTGGAGTTGCTGACGTGCTTGTGGTGGTGTCGATCGTGTTCGTGGTCTTTGCTGCCCTTATCAGCTGCGCGTATTCTTCACCCATTCGTGTGCCCGCACTAGTCGCGTGTTTGCACGGTGCATGTGTGTTCCAGTCAATGAAGTGTTCGTCCTGCTCGTGGTGTTCGCGTCGAAGGCGAAGGCGAAACCGGCGCCGCTGCGATGGGCCGACATGGAGTCCGAGGATTAGGCTGAAGTTGCCTGGCGATGCCGGGCAGATGGAGCCTCGGACCATTGGGCGCAACAAGCCGCCGACCAGCTGCGCCGGCAGGCAGCAAGCCTGTACATGCAGGCGCTCACACCACGGTGGAAACTGTGGAGAAACTTTTTGGCCAGATGGCCCGGGCGTCCCTGGCGTGCTTTGGCCCCTAAACCCTAAACCCTAAACCCTCAACCCTAAACCCTAAACCCCAAACCCTAAACCCTAAACCCTAAACCCTAAACCCTCCGGAGTTGTTTTTTTCTTTTCGGGTGTGCTCTCTGGGTGTGCCCCCCAAACCTAGAGCCCCCGTACCCCTAAACCCCAATCCCCAAACCCTAAAGCTTGCTGTCACGAAGCCCTTGATAGCTAAGCCCTAAACCCACAAGCCCCAACTTACTTAGCCAATAGTTAAACTCCAAACTTTTCGGGTTTCCTTGTATAGTAGGAATTATACAGTTTAGCCTTTTTTCCCTGGGTTATTGGAGAAATAAGCCACGCCCTAAACCCTAAACCCTAAACCCCAAACCCCAAACCCCAAACCCCAAACCCCAAACCCCCCAACTTCAAGTTCCGAGGCTAAGATGAACCTCATCCGCCGCTTCGAGTCGCCCAAGGTTCGGGACTACGCGTCCCAGGAGCGTTCGGGTTTAGGGTTTAGGGTCTAGGGTTTAGGGTTTAGGGTTTAGGGTTTAGGGTTTAGGGTTTAGGGTTTAGGGTTTACGGTTAGGGTTTAGGGTTTAGGGTTTAGGGGTTAAGGAAGGTAAGGAACAGTGGGAAAGCCTAATCCGCGTGAAGCTGTCCAAGTTCCAGGAACGACCCGAGGCCCTCAAGCGCGTAACCCCTACAAGCCCTTAAACCCTTAAATCCCCTCCCCTCAACCCTTCAAGCCCCCAAACCCCAAGCCCCAAGCCCTAAACCCTGAACCCAAAACCCCAAATCTTAAGCCCTAAGCCCTAAACCCTAAACCCAAAACCCCAAATCTTAAGCCCTAAGCCCTAAACCCAAAACCCCAAATCCTAAACCCTAAGCCCTAAAACCTTTGCCATCCTAGGATCGTCGGTACGGCATTCAGAGACTGTGAACAGCCAGAAATGTTGCATTTCATAGCACCCAGAGAGCCCAATACCCCTTAATTAATCTATATATATATATATACATGCATAATATGCGCACCTTAAACCGTATAAGGATCCCTATTCTGATTTCCTTAGTTGCGGGGCCACGCAAGAATTAGAAAAGCTGTCTACCCTAAAACCGCAGAGCCAACGTTAGGAGAACAAAGACACCTCCGCCATGCCGGGGCTTAGGGTTATGGCGTTGTCCTCGTAGGGAATGGGGGAACGAGGTACGGTAATTGATCCCTTAAAGGGTATTTCCGAGTTTCCCACATTTCCGAATTTCCCACAATCGGGCTACGCCTTTTGTACGCGGCGGCGGCGCTGGGTTAAGCTTCAGAGGTTGAACCTAAACCTTGAAGCCCCGGAAACCTCAAACGATAGATGCCCTCGAACCTAAACCCTAAACCGCGTCAGCCCTTTCACCCAAACCCTAATCCCTAAGCCCTTATATTCACCCTCAGCCCCAGCAGATGCTTCGCAGGGTTGTGGGCCTATAAATGGGGACTCCGTATATACCCCGTGCAACTACCCTCAGAATGCTAGGAGCTTCAGAAGATGCAGCAGAAGCTGCAATCTGTGTCGACCTCGGGCGTTTCTTGTGGGCTTTGCAACCCCCAACAGAGAATGGAAACACAGATCCCTGAACAGAGGTCGGTATTTTTGTTGATTTAGGGTTCCTTAAGTTAAGCCAGTGGTTTGGGGTTTAGGGTTTAGGGGTTTAGGCTTAGGGTTTAGGCTTTTCATCCTAGTTGACTAGCAGTGGCAACTCAAACGAGAACTCTGCCGCACGCCCTGGCTGTTCCTTGTTAGAGCCAAAAGGTGTTTAGGCTTTAAGGTTCACAGCTTCGGCTGTTTTTCAGGGATCGAAGGACGGACCCCTGAAAGGGGGCCCTGAACAACTGATCCCCGTAAATACCCCATATACACCTTTTGGGGTTGAAGGGCCTGCAGTGGAAGTTCGTCCATTGTGAGGTTAGGGATTAGGGTTTAGGGTTTGGGGTTTAGGGTTTAGGGTTTAGGGTTTAGGGTTTAGGGTTTAGGGTTCACGACATGGTAAGTTCTCTGAATCCTTCCAGATTTTTGCAGCACCCCGGATACACCGGCAGGCTTTCGGGTTTAGGGGGTTTGGAAAGCCGCCCTTGTTTCCACGCGCGTAAAAAGAAAACTCCACCTTGACAACCCAAAACCTACTTTTTTGTAGGCTCTTATTATCAACAACCCTTATGGGATTCTTAGGTAGCCTACAAAACGCCACATTGTGAGCCCTTAAGGTACCTCCCTAACCTCTAAACCCTAAACCCCAAACCCTTATGCCTAAGGATCTCTCGGACTTGGAGACCACCATGCAAGCCCCACTCATCCAACACCCGACAGCCTTCAACCCGAAAGCATGAGAGTCGAAAGCCTGAGCAAGGTAAGCCCTAGGGCCTAACCTCTTGCGCCTTGAACCCTAAACTCAAAACTCTCAACCCTAAACCCTAAACTCCAATTAAGCCCTAAACCCTGAACATTATCCCTAAAACCACTCAAAGATCCAAACCACAGAAACCTCAACCAGGCGCAGAGCAGGCTCCAGCCCAAACCCTAAACCCCAAACCCCATTCCCCATTCCCCAAACCCCAACCCCAAACCCCAAACCGTAAACCCTAAACCCCAAACCCCAAACCCCAAACCCCAAACCCGAAACCCTAAACCCTAAACCCCAGCCAGGCGCAGAGCAAGCTCCAGCCTTTGAAGTCCGTGCGCCAAGAGCTCGCCCAGAGGGTGGTGGCGCAGCAGCCCCTTGGTCTGTCTTTCCATGTCTTTGGCGGGGCAAACCCTAAACCCTAAACCCTAAACCCTAAACCCTCAACCCTCAACCCTCAACCCTCAACCCTCAACCCTCAACCCTCAACCCTCAACCCTCAACCCTCAACCCTAAACCCTAAACCCAAACCCTAAACCCTAAACCCTAAACCCTAAACCCTAAACCCTAACCCTAAACCCTAAACCCTAAACCCTATCTTCGGGGTTTTGGGTTTTGGGGCACCTGCCGGAGCCTAGAACACGATCCGTTCATGGCACGAAACTTACCGCTTCTTAGTAGGGAATTTAGGATTCAGTATAGGGGGACACTTCCTAAGGCCTTGCGATTCTTGGGTCGCTTCTTGCAGCCAAGAAAAAGGTTTTGATTTCGTAGGGTGAGCGACCTTACACCCGCCTGAACCTTCTTGCCTTCAGAGACGCGCAGCCCCTCATCCCTAAACCCTTTGCTACCCTAAACCCCGAGACTTGAGGGCGGTGAAACAAATGGAAGAGAAGCTGGCTCCGCTCGAGCAGGCGAGAGATTTCGGGCTGGAGGTTGGGTTCAGGGTTCAGCGTTTGGAGTTTGCGGTTTGGGGTTTAGGGTGAGTTAGGGTTTATAAGAGTTTGGGGTTTGCGGTTAGTTTAGGGTTTATAAGGGTTTGGGGTTTAGGGTTTACGGTTTCGGTGAAGGGGTTCTATTCTAATGTACCTCGTTCCCTCATTCCCTACTAAGAAACCAGTAAGTTAAGCGTTTGCCCGGCCTAGGGTTCATCCAAGGGTAGGCACATGATCTCATAATATGAGCCCTTCATTGGAAAACCCTTAGAAAGCCTCATACACCCTCGAAAAACCAGTTGCCCATACTCAACCTGCCTGGACCCTTAGCCCGCGGTCCTAAACCCTAAGCCCCAAAGTTTAGGGTTTAAGACCCTATGCCCTAAGCCTAAACCCCAAACCCTAAACCCTAGCCCTAAACCCTAAACCCTAAACCCTAAACCCTGAACCCTGAACCCTAAACCCTAAACCCCAAACCCCAAACCCTAAACCTTAAATCCTAGCCCTAAACCCTAAACCCTAAACGCACTTAACCTGCCTGGGGCAGGACGTCACGGCTGCGGAGGAGTTAGCGGCCCCTGTGAGCAGCGGCGAAGCCACAGAGGCCGCTTGGATAGGGGGTTTAGGGTTTAGGGTTTAGGGTTTAGTGTTTAGGGTTTAGGATTTAGGGTTTAGGGTTAGGGTCTACGATTGGCAGGGCCAGGACATTTCTAGCTTAGAAGCTGTTCGAGCAATTAGCAAAAACCCCACCCGCCCAGAGGGCCCCATAACAAATTTGAAAATATCAAGTTTCTTTTTTATCGTGCGCAGCTTTTCCTAACCCCTCGCTTCACACCCATTTGTTCCACAACCTCTCCAAAGTTCCCAAAAGAAATACAATAAGGAAAACCAAGAAGACGAAACAACAAAAACATTGAGATCCCCGGACCTTTAACATTAGACCCCAGAATCTTTTTGGGACCCCGGGGACTCCAGGAGCTCCCCAAGGCACGCAAAAGAAAGACAACAGAAAAAAAACGCGAAAAGGGTAGACAAGAAGCAAAAACATGAGATTCCTGAACCCTTAACATGGATCCAAAAGAAACAAGACGATAAAAAAACCAAGAAAAGTGAAGAAAATCAAAAATGATATTCTTGAACCCTTAACATAAGATCCCAGAAGAATTTTTTGGGACCCTGGGGAGGCTCCCCACCCCACCCTCGCACCAAACCCATTTGACCCATTTGCCTAAATCGACGAAGAACTTGCCTAAATCGACGAAAAAACTTGCCTACATCGACGAAGAATTTGCCCGACGAAGAATTTGCCTAAATCGAAGAAGGATCTGCCTAATTCGACGAAGGACTTCGAAGAACTTGCCTAAATCAAGGAATGCCAGAGGGTGGCCAGGATCGGCCCCTTCGTCGATTTAGGCAAGTTCGTCGTCGATTTAGGCAAGTCCTTCGTCGATTTAGGCAAGTCCTTCGTCGATTTAGGCAAATGAGGAAGGGGTTTAGGGTTTAGGGTTTAATTTGGGTTTAGGGTTTGAGGGTGGGTTTGATCGCAAGAACCTGAGGGCCTTGCGCATGTCCAGGGTTTTGGCACGCAAAGTAGGCCCTTATTAGGTTTAAGGTGCAGGGTTTAGGGTTTATGGTCCAGGGCTAGGATCATATGCATCGTCTTCATCATCAGCATCATCACCTTCATCATCAAGATCTTCTATGATGGAAATCCCAGGTGAGTTCTGGACTTGTTTTTGTTGCTAAACAATACCAGAAAATAAAAAACAAATCTGAATTCGAACAACGTTCTGAGAACTTTCTGCAAAAAAATGTTTTCCCCCGGAGTAGGCCCTTCTTGGGTTTCGGGTTTGGTGCCCTTTTGTTCCTAAGTTACTCTTGTATGATGGGGATTTCACGAGGGTTTACAAGGGAGACTAAGTAGACGTACTAAGTCAAAAGGCTTCCAAGTATGGTTTAGTGGTTAGGGTTTAAGGTTCAAACCCAATCCCCTAAACCCCCCTCCAAAAGCTCCCCTTAATCCCTAAACCCTAAACCCTAGCCCTAAACCCTAAACCCGAAACCCTCTTGTGTCCCCTAAAAGGAGCAACAGGCCGCCGCCGAGGAGGCGATCCAGAAGGCGAGTCGCTTCACGGGGGGTTCAGGCGTTTCAGGGCTTAGGGCCGTTTAGGGTTTAGGGTTTGGGTTTTAGGGTTTAGGGTTTAGGGTTTAGGGTTTAGGGTTTAGGGTTTAGGGTTTAGGGTGTAGGGTTTAAAGCTTAGGGTTTAGGGTTGTTCTATGAAGCTTCGGCTTGGAGTTTAGGTCGTAGGATACCCTCCTTCCCCCACCCGTGGTTCCCCTTCTGTTGGCTACGCCGTAAAACCCTAGACCTTTCTCAAAGAAGAAGTCATGTAAAACAAAGAACACCCAAGAGCCCTAGACCTTACAGGCCTTATACACCCCCCTCCCCACCACCCTAAACCCCAAACCCCAAACCCCAAACCCCAAACCCTAAACCTAAACCCTAAGCCCTAAGCCCTAAACCCTAAACCCTAAACCCCAAACCCCAAACCCCAAAAAACCCAAACAGCCCCTCAAAAAGAGGTGCAGGACCAGCTCGAAGCGCTCAAGCGCTTCTTTCAGATGCACTTTGGCGGCACCGAGGTGGTATGGTTGAAGATCCAGAGGGTTTAGGGTTTAGGGTTTAGGGTTTAGGGTTTAGGGTTTAGGGTTAAAGGGGTAGTTTGTGCCTGAAGGAGCTCTTGGTCCCAGACTGGTCCGAGGGTTCAGGGTCTGTGGTTTAATTACGGGTTTGGGGTCTTATTGCGGTTCGAGGCTTAGATAGGGTTTAAGGTTAGGAATTGGGTTGTAGGCTGTAATTCGGGTTGCTGGTTTGGGGCTTCAAGTTCGCCTTAAGGTAGGGCTCAGAGAGATACTGCATTGCGTCTGCACCCTCGAAGCTTCGTACCCTAACACGAATCTTAACACCCAGATCCCTAAACCCTTGCCTGCTTTCGACTTCCTATCCGAACCCCCCCCCCCCCCACCCCCCCCCCCCCCACCCCCCCCCCCCCCACCCCCTCCCCCCCCTGGCGCCATGAAGCCCTATACCCTAAACCCTAAACCCTAGACCCCTCTAGACCCCTTGCGCAAGGAAGAAGCACCTGGCCACAGCGGCCAAGGCGCATGTTCGGGGTTTAGCAGTCTAGGGTTTTAGGGTTTATTGTTTTAGGGTTTATGGTCTAATTAAGGTTTAGGTTTAGGGACCTCAGTTCCGAAAACAGGGCAGGGAGGGCTCTGCCCAGGATCCTGTGTAGGTTTTGGTTGCAGGGTCTTGGGTTTAGGGTTTAGGGTTTAGGGTATAGGTTGGCACAAGCTACCTCTAAGGAGACCTTCGTCTATGCAGGAGAGCTTAGAAGGAGACCTTAGCTTAATCATAGAATGTAGGGTTTGGACTTTGGTATTTGGGGTTTAGGGTTCAGGGTTTAGTTTACGGTTTGGGGTTTAGGGTTTAGGGTTTAGGGCTTGGGGTCTCAGATCCTGCATCTTGCGAGGAGCTGGACGCTCCGGAGAAGCGTCTTACCGAGATGGAGACCAAGCTGGCAGCGTTGCAGGAGACCTCCCTAAACCCCAAGCCCTAAGCCCTAAGCACTAAGCCCTAAACCCTAAACCCTAACCCTGAACCCTAAACCCTAAACCCTAAACCTTAGGGGTTCAGGTTTAGGTTTTGTAGATTTTCGGGTTTAGGGTTCCTTTCATCTTCTCTTTGAGTGAACCATACCTGAGCCCTAGACCCGAAAGCCCTCAACCCCTTAACATTAAGACCTGAGCCTTAAGGCCCGACCCCAAATCCCCAAACCCTCAAACTCCTCGAATCCGATAAAACTTCCTAAACTCAGAACTCAGAACCTCTAAATCCTAAACCCTAAGCCCCAAACCCAAGAGGCCCTCTAAACCCTGAACCCCTAAACCCTAAACCCCTACCCTAAACCCTAGCCCTAAACCCTAAACCCTAAACCCTAAACCCTACACCCTACACCCTACACCCTAGCCCTAAACCCTAAACCCCAAAGGGGGGGTGCCCAGCCTCTGAGGGAGCCCCGCAGGACACGAAGCGCCAGAGTGGTGAGAGGCAGGCGCTGAAGGCCGGCAGACTGCTTTCTTCTTGGTTGGTGGGTTTAGGGTTTAGGGTTTAGGGTTTAGGGTTTAGGGCTTAGGGTTTAGGGTCTAGGGTTTAGGGTTCATGGTTTAGGGTCTAGGGTTCAGGGTTTAGGGTTTGAGGTTTAGAGCATAGGGTTTAGAGTTTAGGCATTAGGGCTTTGTTTTTTTCTTCGGTGGGGGGGAGGGGGGGTGGTGAGAGCTCCTTGAACTTACATTTGTCCAGAGTTTAGGGATTTGGGTGGTTTAGGGATTTTGGTAGGTTTCTTTTCTAGGACTTTGAGGGTTCGGTGCTTTGGCGGCGGTTTTGGGTTTCAGCGTTCAGGGCATTTGGGATTTTGGGCTTCTTGGTTCGGGGTTGCAGGGGTTTGCAGGTCTTAGTAGTATAGGTGTAAGGCTTGTAGAGTCAAAGCGGAATGTCCTTAGCATGTTTGTAACCAAGAACCCCGCCCTAGCACAGCCTTTGTAATCATCTTTGTGTAATTTCATGGTCCCTTAGTATGGGCCGGGACCCATATATACCCCTTATATACCCTATACAAACGAAGGGCCCATGGAGTATGTACGGTATACATATGGGATATAGGAGAACAAGATTAAGGGTCCCTTCTAGGGGTCCCTCCTTTGCCCCCTTAAGGTTCTGGGCAGCCCGAAAGCACCGCTTTGTTCACAGCCACTAGGATGGGCTGTTGGGCCACATTGGGGTTTAGGGTTGAGGGTTGAGGGTTTAGGGTTTAGGACTGCAAAGTTTGCAGGTCCTGGCGAAGGACGCCGACCAACGACTCCATGTCTTGACGGAGGCACTGGAGAAGGCGGGGGGTGGGGTGGCGGTTGGGGGGGGGGGGGGGGGGGGGGGGGGTTAGGGGTTAGGGGTTAGGGGTTTAAGGGTTTAAGGGTTTAGGGTTTAGGGTTTGGGGTTTAGGGTTTAGGGTGTAGGGTTTGGAGTAGGGTGGCTTCAGGCTTTACTTACTCCTAAGGTTTCTCTGGGCCGTGGCAAGGGCGTTTTCTCCCACTGTGTTTTCGCCTTGCCTAGGTCCATGCGCCCTGTTTTTGTGTGACAAGTTCGTTTTGGAGGCAACCCTCTGGGCCCGAAAGGGTTTAGGGTTTAGGGTGTAGGTTTAGGGTTTAGGGTTTAGGGTTTAGGGTTTTTGTTCCCCCGGTTTGGGGGTTTAGGGCTGAGGGTCCAGAACCCGGGCTTGCCGACAGCTTCGACCCTGCTTTGGGGGGGGTAGTTGGGGAACCCATGAGGTTATGGAGGGGTTGTCATTGTCAGATGTGGGGCTCACACTCAAGCCGGGAGCTTTAACGTTAGGGTTTAGGGTTTAGGGTTTAGGGTTTAGGGTTTAGGGCTTAGGGTTTAGGGTTTAGGCTTTAGGGTTTAGGGTTTAGGGTTTAGGGTTTAGCTGACGCTGAGGTACTGTCAGCATTGTCAATGCAAATGCTCCCTTATTCCTTCCCTTATTAACCCCTTGAAGCAAAAGAAAGAGTGCCTTGTTTATTCGAGGTTCGTTTGTGACCTTGTTCAGTGTTTTCGCAGTTTTCGGTGGTCTGGAAACCAGGTTTCACCGGGCTTTTTTGGGGGTGAGGGTTCTGTCATGTTCAGAAATTCCGCGCTGTTGTTTCGCCTACCTCGCTAATACGTCTCCCCAAAATTAGGAGAAGCCACACTGAGCATGCCCTGCACCCTGCACCCTAAACCCAATGATCCCCGACAGGTCTGCGAGACACCCTAAACCCTCAACCCCAGACCCCAAACCCCAAACCCCAAACCCCAAACCCTAAACCCCAAACCCTAAACCCTAAATCCCTAAACCCTAAACCCTAAACCCTATCCCTAAACCCTAAACCCTAAACCCCCAAGGGGCCCCCATACTTGGAACCCTACAGAGTGGCGAGGTGGAGCAGCTGCAGGCCCCTTTCAGCAGCGAGGAGGAGCCCGGGGTGGGCGCTCGTGTTGGCCATTTTTGGGTTGGGGTTTAGGGTTTAGGGTTTAGGGTTTCGGGTTTGGGGTTTAGGGTTTAGGGTTTAGGGTTTAGGGTTTAGGGTTTAGGGTTCAGGCTTCAGGATTTAGGGTTTAGGGTTTAGGGTCTTGGAGTTTTACCACAATTTACACCCGGAACCACGGACCGCGCCTTGTTCCCATCACACGTTGAGCGCCACGCCCTGCAAAACAAACACAAAAAACCCTAAGCCTGAGGGTTTAGGGTTTAGGGTTTAGGTTTAGGGTAGCCCTTGCGAGCAAAGTGAAGACGACGACCCCCGATTAAACCCTAGTAATCCCTAAGCCCTTATAACTAAACAGTTTTAGGATGGCGAGTAGTGCCCTTATCCACTTTTGTTCTTTTCGGGGGGGGGGGGGGGGGAAGGGGTTAGGTTCCTTCGTAGCTAAGAAGGGGTACATGGTCCCTTACTATGGCCCCTTACCTTCTTGAAAGGGTTCTGAAGTAGGGAACATATTTAGGGACCATGTAGCTACCTGAAGAAAAGCTTCTTTAAACCACAAAGGACAACCTAGACCCCAGACCCCAGACCCTAGACCCTAGACCCTACACCCTACACCCTAAACCCTAAACCCTAAACTCTAAACCCTAAACCCTAAACCCTCTTCTGGGCAACCTAAACCCTAAACCCTAAACCCTAAACCCTAAACCCTAAACCCCAAACCCCAAACCCCAAACCCCAAACCCTAAACCCTAAACCCTAAACCCTAAACCCTAAACCGTGGGCGGCGGGGCAGGGCTGCCTCGCTTTTCGACCTTCGCACCCGAAAACCTTTGGAAGCAACAACCCCAAACCCAAAACCCCAAACCCTAAACCCTAAACCCTAACCCCAAACCCTAAACCCCAAACCCTAAACCCTAATGAAAGCCACACCTAAGGACAACTTCAGGAGGCGGCTTCCTAGGAAGGTTTTGGGTTTAGGGTTCAGGGTTTAGGGCTTTAGGGCTTGGAGTTTAGGGTACTCGTATCTCAATGGGGTTTTGGTTTTCATTAGGGTTCAGGGTTTAGGGTGTAGGGCTTAGAGTTTAGGGTGCTCGTATCTCAATGGGCTCAGGGCTGGGTTGTCTCAGTTGAACCTCCAAACTGCTGGGCGCCTTGAAAAAAGTCTCGACGCGTTCTCTATTGTTGGCTTGTAGAAGGACCGTAACCCGTAACCCGTAACACGTAACACGTAACCCTAAACCCTAAACCCTAAACCCTAAACCCTAAACCCTAAACCCTAAACCCTAAACCCTAAACCCTAAACCCTAAACCCTAAACCCTAAACCCTAAACCCTAAACCCTAAACCCTAAACCCTAAAACCCTAAACCCTAAACCCTAAACCCTAAACCCTAAACCCTAAACCCTAAACCCTAAACCCTAAACCCTAAACCCTAAACCCGAAACCCGAAACCCGAAACCCTAAACCCTAAACCCTAAACCCTATTCGGGGTCTAAGGGTTCAATGGGGAGAGGCTGGACAGCTGCAGTTGTCTCAGACTTGCGCCCCTACAGGAGCTGCCGGCAAGCAAGGCCGGCCAGCTGACGGGGACCACCACCCCAAACCCTAAACCCTAAACCCTAAACCCTAAACTCTCAAGGATTCGAGGGCGCGTCATGGTTCAGGGTCTCCTCGCCTCGCCTTAGACAACCTTCAAGTAGGTTTCGGATTCTTAGGGTTTAGGATTTTGGGTTCAGGGTGCAGGATAGAGGGTTTAGGGTTTAGGGTTAGCGAATCTGCGTGGTGGCACGTTGAAAATCAGGGTACCTTCAGGCTTGGGTTGTCGGGATGCTCCCTCTGAGGATTTCTTGGTTTCTTTGTTCCCACCCTGTCCTCGCCACCGGCGGCCGTAGAGACGTGCTGTGCTGCTGACCACATTCTGCGGTGTGACCGCCGTAGTCAGGAAGCTGAAAGGTCTCGTCAGGTGTCCATAGCCAGGCTGCATGGACAGCCGTGCCCAAAGCCTTCCGACCTCCTAATCCGGGGAGGCTCCGATGAAACCGGGGGGCTGAGGTGGAGGAAAGCGTCGCGTAGGCCAGGCTTCCTCCGAAGCCCGGTCCCCAGTACTCTTGGGACAAAGATGTGGGCTGAGTCCATGGGTGTCCTGGGACACCCCAACACGGCCGCGAACACGCGCTCTGAATGCCACCTGACTGGTCCACGCTCCCCCACCTGCATAACCCGCAGCCTCGGGGTTAAGTTATGAAGATCCCTCACTTGAGTTCCAGGGTTTAGGGTTTAGGGTTCAGGGTTTAGGGATTAGGGCTTAGGGTTTAGGGTTTAGGGTTGGGGCCCGTAGAACTAAGCCCAAAGCCTTTTATGGGCTTCTGGTATGGCACATAGCCCTAAACCCTCAATCCTCAATGCCTGCAGTTGGCTTCGGGGTCCCCAAGCCAGCCACACACCCTCAGGTTGAGATTGTATAATGTTTACCAGTTCAAGCGTTTTAGGGTTTAGGGTTTAGGGTTTTGGGTTTTGGGTTTTGGGTTTTGGGTTTTGGGGCTGAACGTATTTCCCGAAGGGTCCATGTATCTCTGTTTCCTATATACTTGGGATTCCAATTTTGCAGCTTTGTTGCGGTGCCCAAGTATTTTCGATATAGGTACATGGACCCTTCGGTACCCTAAGCCCTAAACCCTGGACGCAAAACCCCTAGTACCATGTAAGTACATGGGCCCTTAGGGGTTGAAGCCAACTTCAACAGCTCAAGAAATAGGACCTAAAACTCTAAGCCCCAAGCCCCAAGCCCCAAGCCCCAAGCTCCAAACCCTAAACCCTAAACCCTAAACCCTAAACCCTAAACCCTAAACCCTAAACCCTAAACCCTAAACCCTAAACCCTAAACCCTAAACCCTTGCAGACGTCAGGCCTTGGAATCCCTCCGTGTCGCCGAGGGCCCCGTGACTGCCTCCGGAACTGCTGCACGGCCCCCAAAGCTTCCGGGGTTAGGGTTTAGGGTTTAGGGTTTAGGGTTTAGGGTTTAGGGTTTAGGGTTTAGGGTTTAGGGTTTAGGGTTTGCGGTTTAAGTACTAGCCCTCCCCCAATCCCTAAACCGTTAATATACAAGCCTTCAAGCCCCAAGCCCTGATATGCCCCAAAACCCTAATTGGCCTCCTCCCTAGAACCCTCAATCCTGAACTCTCAAGGCTTTGGGTGCTGCTTCTAGATTCTAGTGGTTCAGTAAAGCCCCGAACCCCAAAACCCTCAGATTGTTTAGGGTCTAGAACTTTTGGGCACTTTTGGGTTTAGGGCCTAGAGTTTTTGGGCAGTTTTGGGTTTAGGGTCTTGTTTCTTAGACTTAGATCGCTGGTCTTAGGGTTTCGGTTTGGGCCTAGAATTTTTGGGCAGTCTTGGGTTTAGGGCTTCACTGCATCGCTGAACGCCCAAAATCGCAAGTAGGGCCCGGTCTGGTGCCGCGTTCTTCAAGAACCCCATGCCGTGGTGCCTTAATTTCTGGGTTTAGGGTTTAGGGTTTAGGGTTTAGGGTTTAGGGTTTAGGGTTTAGGGTTCTGTTAAGCAGCGCCACAAGCAAAACGATGAGTCTTTACTGCATCTTCAGGTTCTGCGAAACTTCTCTAAACCCTAAACCCTAAACCCTAAACCCTAAACCCTAAACCCAAGTTGCAGTATCCTGGCTGTGCCCTTGGAATTCTTGATATTCTCCCAGATCGTGTTGAACAGGATCATGTTTGGGGAGCATTTTCCAGAAGGCATCGAGGGCCGACCTCACCCACCAAAAAACCCCGAAAGCCCTAAAACCCCTGAACCCTAATTCCTTAAAACCCTAAGCTTCCTTGCAAGCCCCAAGCCCTATAAGCCCCCAAAAGCCCTAAAGCCCCTGAACCCCGAAGCTTCCTTATAGGCCCCAAACCCAAGAAGCCCCAAACCCCCAATTCTACAACCCCAAATTCTACTGGATTTTTGGGTACCATACTTTAATACTTTTGTTGGGTTCTGGGTTTCTGTTATAGCTACTTTGTCCCCAAAAGTATATGTCGCAGGGTTTTTACTACTGTTCTTGGTGGGTGTATATAAGGTTCCTTTTTCACATTGGTGAGTGTATATAGGGGGTGTCCTTTTGGGCCTTTTTCTTCCAGGGTCTACTTACTACCCCCCCCCCCCCTGTATACTACCCCCCCTAGGTTGCCCCCTTAAATAACCTTAATTAGGCTAAAAATAACACCCTAAACCCTAAACCCTAAACCCTAAACTTTAAACCCTAAACCCTAATGCCTTGATTATGGGGGGAACCTAGGAGGGGTCGTATGGAGGGGGGTAGTACCTAAACCCTAAACCCTAAACCCTAAACCCTAAACCCTAAACCCTAAACCCTAAACCCTAAACCCTAAACCCTAAACCCTAAACCCTAAACCCTAAACCCTAAACCCTAAACCCTAAACCCCAACAACGCCGCCCCTCACACCTTTAAGGGCCATAGTAAGAGACTAAACCCTAAAACCTGTACCCTAAACCCTAAACCCTAAACCCTAACCCTATACCTTAAACCCTAAACCCTAAACCGTAGTTACCCTAAGAGTCCTGGCCCAGGCCTCGATCGCCAAGATCTTCCTGATGGTGAAGAGTGTGGAGGCACTTGGCTGTTGCGCTTGTTTGAAGAGAAGGGGGTTTAGGGTTTAGGGTTTATGGTTTAGGGTTGAGGGTTTAGGGTTTAGGGTGGGGCTGCGGGATATACCCTACAAAGCCTAAAAAACCCAGCAAACCCTACGAAACCAGTGAGCCTGATAAACCCTGTAACCTAAGCCCTAAACCCTAAACCCTGAACCCTGCACTCTAAACCCTGCACCCTAAACCCTAAACCCGAAACCCTAAACCCTAAACCGCCCTTACAAAGCCCCATAAACCGGCAGCAGGTAAACAGCTTCTCGCCGCTGCTGGCGGCCGAAGGGCAAGCCAGGATCAAGGAATTCCAGATCCAGCTGCAGGAGCGGTTGAAAGGCTTCTGCTAGCTGCTTAAGAACCCCCCCCACCCCCCCACCCCCCCAAAAAAAAAGAAAAAAGAGAGGGAGAGAGAGAGAGAGATGATAGTAATCCCTATACTGCGCTTATAAAGAAGATTTTCTTTTTTTTTGTATGTGTGTGTTTTTTTTGGGAGGGGGGGGCTCTTAAGCAAATATTAGGTTTACGGTTGACAGGGTCACAGGGTTTAGGGTTCAGGGGGGTGTAAGGCTCAGTGAGTTAAGAGTTCGGGTTTGTAGGCTTTATAGAGTTGGTAGGGTTTGTAGGGTCTATAGGCTTCCAAGGTTTAGGGTTTGGGGTTTAGGGTTTAAGGTTTAGGGTTTAGTGTTTAGGGTTTAAGGTTTAGGGTTTAGGGTTAAAAGGGCTTGCAAGGTTTAGAGACCTTAGGGTTTGGGGTTCATCGTCTCCAAGCAATCCTAAGCTCTGGACCCCCTCCCTGCCTTCAAGAGAGCCCCCCCCCCCCCCGCCCCCCCTGGAAACGCTTCGCCCAGCGATGCTTCCGATACAAACCCTATACCCTAAACCCTAAACCCCAAAACTGAAGCCCAAAACTGAAGCCCTACACCCTATAAGCCCTAAACCCGAAGTCCACGGCTAACCCTAAACCCTAAACTCCACAAATTGACCAAGTAGGAGCTGGCGAAGCGCCTGGCGGACTTCAAAGCCAAGGCGGCCGAGAGAAAGAAACTGGCCTACACACAGGACCGCCCAAGGGTTTCAGGTTGGGATGTTCCCTCTTATGCTAACAGTCCTTAGTTGGGATTTTAGTAACCCCCCCATAAAAACCCCTATTTTTCAGGACTGTTAGTATAAGGGGGAACATCCCAAGTTTCAGCGTTTCAGGTTTAGCGTCTAAGCCCCACGGCCTTCCCTTAAACAACCCTAAACCCTAAACCCTAAACCTTAAACCCTAAACCCTAAACCCTAAACCCTAAACCCTAAACCGTGTTCCCTAAACCCTAAACCCGGGTTCTCGGAATTTAGAGCCGACTTCCAAATTCAAGCGACACGAGCTTTATGGCCTGGGTGCTGAGGGTCTAGGGCCTGCATGGGTTCTGCTTAGGGTCTAGGTTCAGGGTTTAGGGTTTAGGGTTCAGGGCTTAGGGTTAGGGCTTAGGGTTTAGGGTTTAGGGTTTAGGGTTTAGGGTTTAGGGTTTAGGGCTTAGGGTTTAGGATTTAGGATACTAGGTTGCGAACCGACGCACAGCCCCGACGGCGTGTTTGTTGAGGCTTAGAGTAGGGAAATTTGGGGTTGTAGTTATACTACCAGTCCTTAAAAGTGAAGGAAAAAAGGGGGTACTAAGGACTACAATGCCTATGAAGGAGTAGGGGGTACGAGAATCCCTATGAAGGACTGTTCGTATAAGAGGGAACATCCCCCAAGTGTGGACTCTTAAGTGCTAGGGAGGCAATCGTGGAAGGCCATGCCCTGGCCAGGCATGGACTGCAGCGCAGTAACTCGCAGCATCACGAGACCTGCACAGGAGGGTGGGAAAGAGAGAGAGAGAGAGAGGAAACACACACACACACACACACAAGCGCACACACATACACATGCACATATATATATATATATATATATATCTATATATATATATGTATGTATACGTATTCATATTATAACGTTTTCTGCTAGTTGGTACTTTATGCATATGTTCATGGTTCACAGTATACCTATACACACACATACATACACATACATATATATATATATATAACTTTCCTTTTTTTTATTCATTTGTTGATTTACTTGCTTGCTCTGCAATAGATGAATAAAAACACACATGCATAGCATATTCGTCTATTTTGATTTTTAAAGTCTATTTCTATCTGTATTTTGTATTTCAGGTACTCGTAGAACCACCAAACCCGAATAAATTCATGAAACCTAGACCCCCGTCCTTCGGAAAGGAATCGGAGCGCTTGGTCAAGAAGTGCGAAGATCTGGCGGTGCAGGTGGGGTTCAGGATTTAGGGTTTCATGTGCTTCGCGGCGGGGTTTAGGGTTTAGGGTTTAGGGTTTAGGGTTTAGGGTTTAGGGTTTAGGGTTTAGGGTTTAGGGTTTAGGGTTTAGGGTTCAGGGTTCAGGGTTCAGGGTTCGCGCTGGTCCCTTTATTGCCTCTCAGGAAAGGCCTTTTTTTTCGGGTTCAGGGCTTAGCACCCTAAACCTTCAACAAAGACCTGACCTTGAATCCTTGTTGGGTACTAGAGAATCCGTACGAGCCAAGGGTGAGAGCTTTCAAAGCAGCCCCGGCAGTAAAGACAACAAGAGGGTTTTGCCTGGCTCCGCTTTGCTGCTTTGGAGGCTGTTTAGGGAGAGACCACACTGCACCACGATGTTACGGGTGTGATTTTGAGTCAGTCAAAGCCCTAAACCCTTAAGCTTTAATCTCCAAACCCCAAAGGCCCTAAACCTCAAAGGCCCTAAACCCGAAGCCCTCAATCGCCTACTATTTGCTTAAGAATCCCCCCCAAAAAATAGTAAACCCTTTATTGCCCTTATATGCAAGAATATTTTTCTAAAGCAAATACTGGTTACACTCTGAACCCCAGAGGCCCACAACCCGAAGCCCTGAACCCTGAACCCTGAACCCTAAACCCTAAACCCTAAACCCTAAACCTCAGAGGCCCACCACCCCAAACCGCTGGTTGCCAGGTGGAGCAGGCTGTTTCTGGCCTCGCCGACGACTCCAAGCTGTCGTCCCTACCGACGGAGGCAAGCAGGGATCAGGGTTTGGGGGGTCTAGGGTTTAAGGGTTGAAAAACAGCATTTCGGGTTTAGGGTTCAGGGGTTTAGGTTATAGGGTTCAGGTTTCGGCGCGTAGGGATGGGTTTTCTGCAGTTCCAAGTCGTACCGAACTTTATCGTACGCGTGACGGAGGTTGCCCGGACCTTGCTGAAGCAGTACCACGCGTGAAAAACCCCCAGACCCTAAACCCTAAACCCTAAACCCCGAATACGGAGAAGAGAAGAGTGTTTCAAGCCCCTGAGCACTGCGAGCCTTCCAGGAGATTCGTCAAGCTCAGACGGCCGCTGCGAAGGCGGAGAGTTCCGGATCATTGTCAGGGTCTAGGGTTTAGGGTTGAGAGTTTAGGGTTTCGGGTGTAGGGTTTAGGGTTTAGGAGTTAGGGTTTAGGGTTTCGGGTTTTAGGGTTTTAGGGTGTAGGGTTTACGGTTTAGGGTGTAGGGTTTAGGGTTTAGGGTCTCGGTGCCCCAGGGTTTGATGCAGAAACTGTGCTGGGTCTCCACTTGGTAGCACCGCAGACCATGCGCCTACTTAACGAGACCAGCACGAAATACCGGAGCCCTAAACCCTAAACCCTAAACCCTAAACCCTAAACCCTAAACCCTAAACGCTAAACCAATAACCAATAACCAATAATCAATACCAACATGAAGGTACAAGGTTACACTGGTATGCTGCGGTGCCGTATCATTTCAGTCATAGGCTTGCAGGCCCGAATTTATTTTTAGTCGCTTGGGTTTAGGGTTTAGGGTTTAGGGTTTAGGGTTTAGGGTTTAGGGTTTAGGGGGAGTTTCAAGACGAATTCCAGGCATGTCGTTTTAAAGAGCATGAGGTACAACATGGCCTCATGTTAGCTTGTCACACCCATCACGTACTAGGCCACGACCCTAAATCCTTGAACCCAAAACCCTCAACCCAAAACCCTCAACCCTCAACCCTAAACCCTAACCCTAAACCCTAAACCCTAAACCTTAAACCCTAAACCCTAAACCCCAAACCCTAAACCCTAAACCCTAAACCCTAAACCCTAAACCCTCCCTCAACCCTAAACCCTAAACTCTACCCTACTCGGGTTCGGGGTTTAGGGTGCACGGATAGAATGACCGAAGGCCATGCAGAGAGACTTGTGCCTCCTAAGGAGGGCTCAGGGGTTCCAAGAACATTTAGGGTTTCGGGTTTAGGGTTTAGGGCTTAGGGCTTAGGGTTTAGGGTTTAGGGCTTCGGGTGAAACGTGACAGCTGCAGCACATGCAATTGGGATGGGCAGAAAATGTCATAGCAACTGATGCAACTGCAGAAAGTAATGTTGTAACGAGAAAGAACAGCAATTGCAGTAGCATTGGTAGTAATAGCGGTGACCGTGGCTGTTTTGTACCCTGACATATTTTGTGAGGTGCTGCAATGACAAGCAGGGAAGCAATGTCAAGAAGAAATCGTGCTCACAGTCCCAGCAGCTGCCAAAGGACTAGCAGCGTGGACTAGCAGCACAAGTGCTTGACTTTCTAATGGCAACATCCGTAGTCCCTTCCTCTAACATTCCACAAATCCTTATCTTCCACACATTATGATTCAGATGCTATACTTGGGTTTAGGGTTAATTAGGGCATACAGGGTGAGAATGGGGTGTGCTTGAATTCGGGTTAGGGTTGGGGGCTATGGTTTGGGATGTTCCCCCCCTAAGATTAACAGTCCCGAATCGGGATAAAACAGGGGGGGGGGGGGGAGGGGCGTACTTTAATCCCTATGGGGGGTACTATAATCCCTATTAAAGTTTGTTTAGGGTTTAGGGTTTGGGGTTTAGGGTTTAGGGTTTAGGGTTTTGGGTTTAGGGTTTAGGGTTAATGGCTGGCGGGAACATTCCCAGATATAGCGGTATTAGAGCTTCCTGCCCATCAGGCGGAAGACGAGGGCACCCTCGCGGTGCATCAGGCAAGTCCCAGAGTGGGTTTAGGGTTTAGGGTTGATTGTTTAGGGTTTTGGGTTTAGGGTTTAGGGTTTAGGGTGTGTCTAACTCCACGTTGCAGCTTAGGGCAGCAGCCAAGCCAAGCGCAAAACCCTAAACCCTAACCCCTGAACCCTAAACCCTAAACCCAACCCCTAAACCTAGAACTTTGCAGCCCAAAATCGAGGCTCAAAGTCCTGAAGACCCTTCAGAAGCCCGCCTTTGAATGCAAAAAGAGGGTGAGGGCGTCTTTGGGCTGCACAATTTACTACTATTTGCTTTAGAACCCCAAAAGAATAAAGAATAATAGTCCCTATTTTACCCTTAATAAGGAAGAATAATTTGTTTTTCGGGGTTCTTAAGTTTAGGAGAGGGGGCTCAGCCGAACCCGCAAACCAGGTGTCAAAGTTCGCGTCCAGGTGTGCGTTGCGTTTTCCCCCTGGCTGAGTAGATGTCTTCCAGGACCCAGAGTACGCCCTTTATTCCCTTCTTGGGGGGGGTTAGGGTTCCCTTGGAAACCACTTAACACCAAAAATGGAGTTACCCTCTTGATTCCTAGGCTACTCTTGGGCCTAGTGCTTTCGAGGAGGGCTAACCCGGGTTATAAGCTTCGGGGTTTGAGGGTTGAGGATTTGGGGCTTAAGGCCGCATGTTAATGGACGTGTCGAGGGCCACAGGGCCTTCCGCAAGAAGCGCATCTAGTGCCAACCGACACATCCAAGACAGCGCTGTCACTACCCGTGGCAATAAGGCGGCCTCAGATCCGAAGGTGTGGATGTCTGAGGAATCGCACCAATGATCGATGGCATGGACCAAGCTAAATTCTCGCTTCCACGGGTGAAGCGGCTAGTAGGAACTGCCGACTTTGGCAAATGCTGGATAAGAGTTTAACCTTGTTTTGGGCTAGGTTACTCAGCCCCTAAGTAGTCCAGCTAGGCAACCTTACAACAAGGACCCGAAAAGGGACCAAGCATACGCATGCATATGTGTATGAGCAAATATACATACACCTATTGGATTCGGGTTCGGTTTGCACGCACGCCGAAACCTTGAGCCCTAAGACCCTAAACCTCCAACCGAAAGACCCTAACTCTAGTTCAGGGCTCTTCAAAGCTTCTAGCTACAATTTAGAAGAGAAGCCCTTATCAAAAGGACCCTTTAGACGACGCCCATGTGCCCTAAGCCATAATTAGCCCCTCAACCCCCCCCCCCCCCCAAACCCCCTTGAATCCACCTGACTTTCCCAACTTTCCTCTCAAAGTCCCTGAACCCTAAACCCTAAACCCTAAACCCTAAACCCTAAACCCTAAACCCTAAACCCTAAACCCTAAACCCCGGAATGCCTCTCTTGGCAAGGCCAAGTCTGCCCTTATGCAGTGGCAGAAGGAGGCGCGACCCGAAGGGTTGAGAAGGGTTCAGGGTTTAGGGTTTAGGGTTTAGGGTTTAGGGTTTAGGGTTTAGGGTTTAGGGTGTACCGGTGTAGGGTTGAGGTCTTTGGTGTTTCGGGTTTAGGGCTTTCGCTGTTTCAGGGGTTTGTTGAGTCTTGGTGGTTTGGTCTTGGGGAGTCAAGGGTTTGCTGGGGCTTGTGGGGTTAGGGTGTATCTGGGTTTTTGGGCTCTAAAGGTTTAGGGCTTCTAGGGGTTCGGGACGTGGAGCGTTTTGGGGTTTAGTGTTAGGGTTTCGGGTTTCAGTGTGTTTTCTTGTTTTTTTTTTTTTTTTTGGGGGGGGGGGGGGGGGGGGGAAGGGCGGGGGGTGTTAGGGTTTAGGGCTTTGGAGGATTAGGTTTTTGGAAAGCTTGGTGTGTGGTTGAGAGATTTAGGGCTTAGTGTTAGGCTTTATAGGTGCCCTGTGCCCTAAACCCTGAACCCAAAACCCTAGACCCTAAACTCGAAACCCTAAACCCCAAACCCCAAACCCACAAACCCAACAACCCTAAACCCATTCCTTTGTTTAAGGCAAGCTAAGGCTTTTCAAGGGTTGAGATGGCTCCGTGGCTGCGGGGTTCACGGGGGGTTGCCTAGACCTCCGAATTTAAGCCCTCTGAACCCTAAACCCGAAACCCGAAACCCTAAACCCTAAACCCTAAACCTTGGAGCCGCAGTTGGTCTGTAGGGTTTCAAGGTTTATGGCACAAGGTCTGAAGATGTGTTTGGCTCCGACTTTCAAGGTCTTGCGCATGTTTCGCCTTTAGGTCTTCCAGCAGTTGAGGATATTTAGGTTTGAGGGTTTAGGGTTTAGGGTTCCACCCTCATCTGGTCTCCGTGAATGGGGATTGTATATTCGGGATGCTCTAATTAGTCCAATGGGGCGTCCGACTGGTGTCGATGTTGTTTAGCTTAACCCTACGCTCAACCCTAAACCCTAGATAGTCCCCAAACCTTACCCCCGAAACCCAATCCCCAAAAAAGCCTAAAGCAAAACCCTACAATCCCTAAACCTGACCTCGGTGGCACAAGCCGACCCAGGGCACCCACGATGGGCCCGGTACCGGAGCCCGTTCTCCTCGAGACCAGTACTGGTCCCCTATTTCGGTCATTGCCCTAAACCCAAGCGGCTCAGGGTTTAGGGTTTAGGGTTTAGGGTTTAGGGTTTGGGGTTTAGGTTTTAGGGTTTAGGGTTTAGGTTTAGGGATGAAAACCCCTCACACCCCCCTTGGACCCGCCTCGGAAACCCTGAAAATGCTCCGCCTAAGACCCTCCTGAACCCCTCCTGCACTGGGGCTTGCCTAAGACCTACCCTAAAAGGAATAGGTTAGGGTGTCTTTGCCACCTTGGACCGCGTGGGGTGGGAGAGAGGTGTTGGATGGCCCTCCATAATCGGGCCAGACCTGCTCTTCTCTAGCCTCTTCTGCATCCTATTCACAGCATCTGCGCCATATTGCAGCAAACCCTAAACCCTAATCCCTAAACCTTAAACCCTAAACCCTAAACCCTGAACCCTGAACCCTAAACCCCACCATTAGCCGAGCCCTGCCCTGCCCCAGGAGAACGCTGCCGACTGCGCGCAGGAGCTCACCCTAGACCCTTTCAACATGGGGTTAGTTTAGGGCAGGGGGTTTAGGGTTTAGGGTTTGGGGTTTAGGGTTTAGGGACACTAGTCCGCGGGAGGGGTGGGTTTTTTGTTGAGAAGGGGCTTTGTTCGTCACTGTCATGTAGCTGATGATAAGAAGTTAACAACCCCCCAGCTTTTCACCCCCCTTTCCTGCAAGGCGAAGTCAAAAGTCCAACCTAAACCCTACGACCTTAAACCCAAACTACCGGCTCTGAACCCCATGGCGTCTTGAAAAGAAGGCTAGTAGTATAGGGTTTAGGGTTCAGGGCTTGTTTAGGGTATAGGGTTTAGGTCTGGCCGCCAAGACAAGTTCCCGGTTGCGTCATCTTGGCAGGGAAGCATCCTGCCGGCACCCTCATGCTCTTAAATGAAATTCAGTGAGCTGTCGAGTACACAGCACGAGCAGCTGGTTCTGGACCGCATCGTCACGCTGAAGTGCGTCTCTGTCGCGCCCAAGTGGGTACCGGCGGGCGGCGGCGCATTCGCAGCATCCCCAGGGAAGTACGAGTTGAAGGCGCATGCGACGCTCTGCCGCAGTGGCCCTGCTTGTGTCACTGATAGGCAGGGCTGTACTCGGACATGTTTGGTGTTGAGGGCCGCGGCTGCCGGCATTGAAATCCAGGAAGGATTGGGGTTTAGGGTTTAGGGTTTAGGCTTTAGGGTTTAGGTTTAGGGTTTAGGGTTTAGGGATTAGGGTTTGGGGTTTAGGGTTTAGGCTTAGGGTTTAGGCCCTGGGCGCTGTCGCCAGGCACACGCGGAGCTGCACGAGCGCGTGAATAATGCCGTGTGCCCAGCGCAGATCAGCCCAGGGACCCATATGGAGTTTAGGGTTAGGGTTTAGGGTTTAGGGTTTAGGGTTTAGGGTTATGTGACATGGGCAGTTCTCTAAACTAGGGCCGCTTTTTTGGGTTCCTTCTTTTCAGGGTGCCGTGCTACATAGGGGACTCCCAAACAGGGCACCGAACTAAGAGAACTATTCCTTACGAACCCAAGACCCTGGGTTTGAGGAGTTTGAGAGGGTTAAACAGATTAAGGGTTGGCTTGGTGTTTAGGGTTTATTTGGGGTTTATGGTTTGGCGAAGCTCCCTAAACCCCTAAACCAAGCACCCCCGAACCCTTAGAATAAGCACTCCAGCCAGTGTAAGGTGCGTGAAAGCCAGGCACACCTTTAGAGGTTGAAGGCCTTCGGGGGTTTAGGGTTTAGGGTTTAGGGTTTAGGGTTTAGGGTTAGGGTTTTGAGTCTGGGGAATAGCGCTGCCTCGATCCTTGATGCCGCTGCCAAGCGAAGGAATACCAAGGCCTTCAAACCCATAAGGGTGACAGATAAAGAGGCCATTGGCCTTTATAAGGTCTACCACGTAAAAGGCTCCATAGCAATCATCCAGGTTTCTTTCCTGGAGGTTCAGGGTACCTATGACCAAGAATCCCAGTGATAGGTTAACAAGTGCCCATGAACCTCCAAATAGATGTACCCAGACACTCAACCCCAAAGATTAAACCCTAAACCCTAAGCCTATTCGCTACACCCAGACCCAAAACGCTACACCCTTGATTGACCCTAATATCGCCAGCTGCCCCGAATAAAGGGGGTTCTATAAATTAAGGCTTATATCGGTACTTAGGGCAGAAGAGGGGGGGTTCATGTACTGCAAACCTTAAACTAACCCTAAACCCCAAACCCTAAACCCTAAACCCCGAAACCCAAAACCCTAGGCGCGGAGCGCCATGACCAAGCATGCGCGCCACTTCGGCTGATGCTTCTTAAAACCAGCTTTGTCACCTTAGGGTTTGGGGTTTAGGGTTTGGAGTTTTCGGGCGTTAAGGGATAGGGTTTAGGGTGTAGGGTTTTGGGTTTTAGGTCTTTAAGGGATAGGGTTTAGGGTGTAGGGTTTGGGGTTTAAAGGGTTCAGGGTTTGCTTTGGCATCTCAGGGTTTGTAGGCTGTAGGGCTTTGGGGGCTTTAAGGGTTAGGCTTTTGGGGTGAAGGGTTTTTAAGATTAGATCACAAGGGCTTTAAGGTTTAGGAATTCACGGCAAGGGGCCGGGGGCGTTTGGATTGCGAGAAGGTCCTCACGGACGGATTTGTTCCAGAGCTCTTGGAGAAGGTGCATGGCATGGCCGCAACAAACCCAAAGCCCTCTTCGGCCAAGCGTCAGGGTTTAGGGTTTAGGGTTTAGGGTTTAGGGTTTAGGGTTTAGGGTTTAGGGTTTAGCGTAGAGTTTCCTCCCAAATGGGGTACCAAGGATATCGACTTGATGGAGAGGCCCAGGCGCCTCTTGGGAGGTCAAGAATGGCCCTGGACCCGCGAAAGCAGCACTTTGAGGCAACGGAGCGCGTGGGTGACATAGGTGGGAGCTCCTTCGCGCGTGGGCCACAGGAGTGCTACTGGCACTGCTGCTTCACGGCAGCGCCGTGAGTAGCAGAGACGAGGAGGTGGAGGAGGCACCGGTGCCGGGCCCGCGAAACGGTGGACAACGACCCCACGTCTGGAAAGAAAGACCGGGGAGAGGCCAGGATCAACAACTGCATGGTAGGGGCCTTAACGTTCAACCCTAAGCCCTAATGAAACCCTAAACCCTAAACCCTAAACCCTAAACCCTACACCCTACACCCTACACCCTACACCCTACACCCTACACCCTACACCCTACACCCTACACCCTACACCCTAAACCCTAAACCCTAAACCCTAAACCCTAAACCCCAAGCCCTTATAAACCCTAAACATGCCCGGGCGGGACGCTCCACCTCGCCGACTCTTGCCGGGTCTGGCGAGTAAGAACTACAGGCATACTCCTCAAGGAAGGGGTACACAGACAGCCCAAGACCGCTTTCCCTTAACTAAGGAATGGACCTTAAGTCATATTAGGATCCCTAGCATAATTTCAGGTACGTTCCTTAGTTAAGGGGTATTGGGCTCTGGGGTATACTAGAGTTTAGGGTTTAGGCTGTAGGGTCTAGAGTCTAGGGTTTAGGGTATAGAGTTTTGGGAATCCGAACCCCTCAAACCAAAACTCCAAGCTTCCCCCCTTCCCCCCCAAAAAAAAAACAAAGAAAACGACAAAATCAATAGAAGAATAAAACAAGCATGTATTCTTTGCACGGTGGGTGGAGGAAGACCCCTAGGCTTAATTATCCCTAAGCAGCCTTAATTAAGGGGGGGACCTCGGGGGGGGGGACCGGGGGGGGGGGAGGGGTAGCATAGAGGGGGGGGCAGAAGGGGAACCCATAAATTAAAGAAGGGACCTATATCAGGGAATCGAAGAGTGAGGGTCAAGGGTTTAGGCTCGAGGGTTCAGCGCCTGCTTCGAAGAGCCTTCCTCTGTACTGTAGGGGGGTGCTGCAAGTCCTAAACCCTAAACCCTAAACCCTAAACCCTAAACCCTAAACCCTAAACCCTAAACCCTAAACCCTAAACCCTAAACCCTAAACCCTAAACCCTAAACCCTAAACCCTGACGTGTCTGCGGCCAGTGTTTCTTTTTCAGCTGCTAGCCGTCCCTAGGCCCTCAAGCCTCGAACCCTAAGCCAACCCAAAAACATCCTAGACCCTAAGACCTATAAATAAACCCTAACCCCCAGCCCCCCCCCCCCCCCAAAAAAAAAAAAAAAAAAAAAAACCTTAAACCCTAAACTCTAAACCCTAAACCCAAGAAGCCCTTGAAGTCCGAGGCGTGGCCCTCAGTGTGGACAAGCGGATGGAAGCTTTGCAGATGGTCGAAGAGGCTATAGACGTCCTTGAATTTTGAGTTCAGGGTTTAGGGTTTAGGGTTTAGGGTTTAGGGCTTAGGGTTTAGGGTTTAGGGTTTAGGGTTTAGGGTTTAGGGTTTAGGGGGAACTTCGAGTTCATAAGTGCCCAGCTATGTCCCCTGCACTTGACTCCTCAAAACCCAGGCACCTGCGCTGCTTCGGAGCTGCCCTAAAGCCTGGGAGTTGAGTCATGGGTTCCCCTACTACCCCCCCCCCCCCCACCTCCCCCCCTCTACACTACTTAGGGTTTAGGGTTTAGGGTTTAGGGTTTAGCAAAGGTACTATTGATGGGGGTAGTATCCCTAAACCCTAACCCTAAACCCTAAGCCCTAAACCCTGCGTTTCCATGATTTAGGGTTGAGGGTTTCGGGAATCATGGGACTGAGCCTTGGACCCCGAAGGTTGTACCCGAAGGTTGTACACTTGGGTTCGGGGGCCCTTTTTCAGATCCTCTAAGGGGATTTAAGGACCATATTCAGAGTATCCCTAAACCCTAAACCCTAAACCCTAAACCCCTCTATTCAGGGAACCTCTTAGGGGTACATCCTGAGGGGTCCGAGTAGGATTTGTTTGAGGGAGTTTTCTTTCCCTCTGAACCCCTTAAACCCTGAATTCTCAACCCCTACCTTGAACCTCTTAGGCCCTAAACCCTTATCCGCGGTTTAGGGTTTAGGTTTTTTGGGGTTTACGGTTTCAGATTTAGGGTTTTTAGGGTTTTAGGGTTTTAGGGTGTTAGGGTTTTAGGGTTTTGGGGTTTTAGGGTTTCAGGATTTTAGGGTTTTAGGGTTTTAGGGTTTTAGGGTTTTAGGGTTTAGGGTTTTAGGGTTGTAGGGTTTTAGGGTTTTAGGGTTTTAGGGTTTTAGGGTTCTAGGGTTTTAGGGTTTAGGGTTTAGGGCTAGACCGCCCCATGCCCGCAGAAAATGGCGAAGATGGCGGAGCTGGAAGCGCAGGCTGCGCAGCTGTCGGACATCGTGGCGAAGGCCTGGAGTGGTCTGGAGTCTGGTGATCTTTTTAGGGTTTAGGGTTTAGAACTACAGGATTTAGGGTTTAGGGTTTGGGGTTTGGGGTTGGGGGTTGGGGGTTTGGGATTTGGGGTTTATACTGTAACTATAGGGCTTAGGGTTTAGGTGTTTAGGGTCTAGGGTTTAGGGTTTAGTGTTTAGGGTTCCACCCTCCCTGGTTTCATGGAGCGTGCAGCCCTAAAGCAGGTTTCCGAGCGTCCCTGCTGCTTGAGCAAGCTCAGGGCCACAGCCAGTCGGAGCAATGCGACTTACCCCAAACCCTAAACCCTAAACCCTAATTCCGAGATGTCTTAGTCTGCAAGCACCCGTTGGCTGACATCACATGTCGAGACGCTCACAACATGATCGTCGTTGGTGGGCACAAAAGCTTGGTGATGCAACAGGTGGCTGGCTAGTAGTATCTTGAAGGCATGGGGCTTGGGTTCGGTTTTGAGGGTTTTTTGCGGCGAATACTCCCTCCTACTCCCCAAGGCTCCCTAAGCTTCCCTGAGGTTTTCTAGGTACCCATGAACCCCCCTCCCTTAAGAACCCTACATTATAATGTAAGGGGCCCGATATTCCCGGTATTTGAGGCTGCTTGCTGCTTCTGCTGTTTAGAGTTTTAGGGCTCAGGGTCTGGGGTTGAGGTTTCGGGTCTCAGAGGTTTAGGGTCTGGGAGGATTGAAGTTTGAGAATTCGGGAACCTTCGGTTACATACCTTCCGTAGACCCCCCCTTCCCTTAAGAACCCTAAACCCGCAACCCTAAACCCGAAACCCTAAACCCTAAACCCTATAACTACGGCCTGACTTACGTTTAAGGTTTGGGGTTTCTGCGGCGAGGTCGGTGAAGCTGACGCCGATGTGGGCCTGCTGCAGAAGGCCATCCAGACTTCTCTTATCCTTTGGGGTTTAGGGTTTAGGGTTTAGGGTTGATGGTTCAGGGTTGAGGATTTAGGGTTTAGGGTTTAGGGCTACTCTTGCACCTCGTCTCGCCCAACACGCTATGGAACTTCTGAAGGCCTCCGAGTGTAGAAAAGCACGCAGCGGCTGTCATAGCTCGAAGCCCTCCTATCCCTAAACCCTAAACCCTAAACCCTAAACCCTAAACCCCAAACCCCAAACCCCAAACCCCAAACCCCAAACCTGACATGGGCGTTTCCGAAATTAGGGGTACCCTTTTGGGGTTCCCGTTAAGGGGATTCTGTTCTATCTAGGGTATACAAGAGGAAACCCCCCCAGACCTTAAATCCCAAACCCTTTGCCAGGCGGAAGAAGCTGTCAAGATCTTGCAGTGGGAGGCTGGCCGGATCTTCCAACATAGCTGGTATGGCTTGTTCTCATGGCCTGTTGCACGGAGTAGACCTAAACCCCGAACTGTCAGCCCCTTCCTAGTTGACCCAATGGTGGGCCTTTGTGACGGCATCGTGAGAGGTGCGGTCTCAGTCCAGACATGTGGACAACCAGCTTCAATCTCGGGACGAGGCAGGGCTTGTTCTCAGCTTCAAGGTATAGGCATGAGTTTTGGATTAATCATGGGAAGTCTGAACCATAAACCCGCCCAAAAAAAACCCTTGTCTCCCCTTGGTTGGAGGGGTTGAATGGTTTCCCTTATCAACTCCATGTACAGGCCACAGGGGCAGTCTCGCTGTTCACGCACGTTGCGTGAGCCTAAGCCCTACTTGGAGGTTCATGGTACTTAGTAACTAATTGTAACTGTCCTTATCAACATAATTAGGGCACTTCAGGGGCTTGTAAGTGGGTCAAAAGTACAGTTATAATTGCTACTAAGTACCATGAACCTCCAAGTAGTACCTTTCCTAAACCCTAAACCCCAAACCCCAAACCCCAGACCCCAAACCCCAAACCCCAAACCCTAAACCCTAACCCTAAACCCTAAACCCTAAACCCTAAGACAGGCCCAGCGCGACGTGGCCGAGAAGCTGCGGACTCGGCTCAGTCCGATCCTCGAGCGCGTGGACGGCGCTCAGTCTGCCCTGAGGCCAGGCTCCTGCTTCAGGGTTATTTTCGGAGTTTAGGGTTTAGGGTTTAGGATTTAGGGTTTAGGGTTTAGGGTTTAGGATTTAGGATTTAGGATTTAGGGTTAGGGTTAGGGGCTTAGGATTTGCGGTTAGGGTTTAGGGCTTGGGATTTGGGGATTGGGTTTTTGGGTTTGGGGTTTAGGGTTTGGGGCTCTTGGATTTAAAGGCTTTGGGGATGCAGGAGCTGTTGAAGAGCGTATCTGGGATATACAACTGGTGCTTTCGGACACCTTATATACATGAGGACCATACCTACTTGCAGCTTCTACCCGACTTTTCTTCCCTCCACCCTAGTCGCCCAAAACACGGGGAGGGTTTCAGCCGCTAGGCGGATGCGCTGGCTTCTTTATTCCCGGGGTGTGGCAGGGTTTGGGGTGTGGGCTGTGGTGTTCACAGGATTTCAAGGCTCAGAGGTTTTAGGGCTTAGGGCAGTATCCTTTGTGGTGCCTCAACACCTCGAGGCCAGCCGGTGCGGGAGCAGAGAGTCCCGAAGGAAGTCGAAACGTCCCAAAACCCTAAGCCCTAAACCCTAAACCCTAAAACCTACTGTCAAATCATGGAACCTCCTAAACCCTAAAACCCTAAGCAAGCTTTATCCTGCAAACCATAGGCGCATCAACATACCTCCCTGCCAGTGCACAGGACACACGCAGATCGCGCCTTGGTCAAGGCCCCCTCCACTTTCCTGTTTAGGGTTTAGGGTTACACACAATCCTACTGGCCTCTATAAGGGCGATTCTGGGAAACCCTGTCTGTAGCGTCCTTATGTCTATGCGGTTTGTTGGGGCCCATCCTCTCCCCCCAAGCTTGAGATTCTTGAGTTGCAGGTTTAGGGTTAGAACCACGGGTCTTATTATAGCCGACTCCTTTTGTTTGGAGGCACCTAGCTTCCCTGTTCTCGCAAGGCTTAGGGTATTCCAAGCCCTCAACACCAACGAAACCCCTTGAACCTCGTGGGTTGATAACGAGAACGACTTTGCAATAGAGGTATCGGTGTTGCGCCAGCGTTTAGGTCCTGGGTGAGTTGGTTTAGAGCTGCGGCATTAACCAGAATGAGGGGTGCAACTTTCTAGAGGACTTAGGCGTTTAGCAGAAGTAGCCCATCATACCAGACAACCGCATCAAATGCAAGTATACATGGTCAAAGCGTACACAGCCGGAAAGTCATACATCGGATCCCTCAATGCCTTTCTCGGATTCGTAGTAGTCGCAATAACCGTAAGTATAGTACTGACAGCTATAGCTGGCATGTGCTTTGTTGCTCGTGTCGATCGACACCGCAGCCTAATCCCAAGCCACTTTTGATCCTCCGGCAGCACGGGAAGAAACGTAGAACCCTCACCCATCGAACCTAAAGATGAAACGCACGGTGGTACCGCTTAATCATCCCTTTTCTCCTTCTACTCGGGCTACCTGTTAATCTACATTAAGAAAACAGATGGGTTTCGGGCCTAGGGCTTGTGGTCCTCAAATCTAGACCCTGAACCCCAGCCCTCTAAGCCTAAAACCCTAAAACCCTAAAACCCTAAAACCCTAAAACCCTAAAACCCTAAAACCCTAAAACCCTAAAACCCTAAAACCCTAAAACCCTAAAACCCTAAAACCCTAAAACCCTAAAACCCTAAAACCCTAAAACCATAAAACCCTAAAACCCTAAAACCCTAAAACCCTAAAACCCTAAAACCCTAAAACCCTAAAACCCTAAAACCCTAAAACCCTAAAACCCTAAAACCCTAAAACCCTAAAACCCTAAAACCCTAAACCCTAAACCTAAACCCGAAACCCGAAACCCTAAACCCTAAACCTTAAACCCTAAACCTAAACCCTAAGCTTTCTTTTGGGACCCTCCACCCAATGACCGCAAGCCCTTGGCCTCTCGGAAGATGCCAGGCCTCTGGGGAGGAAGCCAACAAAGGAGTCGAGGACGTTGAGGTGGGTTAGGGTTTCGGGTTTAGGATTTAGGGTTCAGGAATATGCCTTGTGTTTTAAGGTCTATTCCTTACAAGATCAGGGGTGGTAAGGAATACTGTCCATTCCCGCATTTCCCTGCCGCGTCTGAAACTTCTGCTTAGGGTTTTGGGTTTAGGGTTTAGGGTTAGGGTTTAGGGTTTAGGGTTTAGGGCTTAGGGTTTACCGCAAATGACGAAATTCGAAGCTCTAAACCCCAAACCCCAAACCCCAAACCGCAAACCCCAAACCCCAAACCCCAAACCCCAAACCCTAAACCCTAAACCCTAGACTCAGACCCCAAGTATGGGAGACGTGAGTTGGCCTCCCTTGATCCTTGTGAACTCAAGCTCCCTGCAGCGTGAGGAGAGTCATATGCCAGTTTTGGGTTTAGGGTTAAGGTTTGAGGGTTCAGGGTTAACGGTTTTGGGTTTTGGGTTTGGGATTTTGTGTTTTGGGTTTTGGGGGATGTCCCCCTCCCTGGACTAATACTCTGCAGTTGTGACTAAGAAGCGGGCGTTGGTACCAATGGGGTAAAGGGTTTAGGGTTCAGGCCGTTGCCGATTGTGACAACCCAAGCCCCAAGCCTCAAACTCAGTGTCGCAAGGTTGCTCTTCGGAACTACCTGCATGCATTGCCCAATTGGCTGAATTCCAAACCTAACCCGTGAGCCCGAAAACGAGCGTAGGCCCCAAACCCTAAGCCTTTCCATCTCTTGCTGTTTATGTACTTAAATATTTTCTGTTTAACGCAAATACAAACATGTAAGGGGAACCACTTAAACTTAAGGAACCCGAGTTCATGTTTGGCGAAAAGGCATCCATCAAGGCAGCTGTCGAAGCAGAGGAGGCCCCCCAAAGGGTGATTTCTTGAGAGTGTCACAGTTGAGGGTTGGGGTTTAGGGTTTAGGGTTCAAGGCTGAGAACGGTTGGGGATACAGAGTTGAGGGCTTTGGGTTGAGAGTCGAGGTCGTAAGGTCTAGGATCCCTTGCAGCTTAGATTGAGTTTAGAGCTGAGGCTTGAGGTTTGATGGTGTAAGGTTTAGAGCCGATGCTTTTGGTTTTAGCTTCTAGAGTCGAGGCCATGACGGAAGCGAGTCGAGTGTTTGGGGTTTAGGGTTTAGGGTTTAGGGTTTGGAGTTTAGGGAGGAGCTTCTGCAGCACATTCCGCAAGCCCTGCAAAGCCCTAAGCCCTAAGCCCCACAAAACCCATAACACCCGAACGACATAAGCTCCCAAAACCCCAACCTCCAGCCCTTTAGGGTTTAGGGTTTAGGGGTTTAGGGGTTTAGGGGTTTAGGGGTTTAGGGGTTTAGGGGTTTAGGGGTTTAGGGGTTTAGGGGTTTAGGGGTTTAGGGGTTTAGGGTTTAGGGTTTAGGGCCTAGGGCCTAGCCCAAAACCCTAAACCCTAAACTCCAAAGCCCAAACCCTTTTACTTTTGGAACCCTCTTTGCGAAGGCTTTTCAGAAGGCGGCCTCGTCCTCCGAATCCGAGGCGGCCACCGTCCTGGAGAGTCGCCTACTTCTAGGGGTTAGGGTTTAGGGGTGTTTAGGGTTTAGGGTTTAGGGTTTAGGGTCTAGGGTTTAGGGTTTAGGGGTGTAGGGTTTAGGGTCAGTTTTGGGGTTCTGGAGCGCTTCCGGGTTGGTGTAGGGCTTGGGGAGTTTCAGGTCTTTAGGTTTGAGGGCTTCGAACATTCAACATGCTGCCTTGCTGGGCACTAGAGCCCCTTTTCCTACAAGACCCAGAAGACCCAGAAGACCCAAAAGACCCTAATGCCCTAAACCCCAAAACCCCTAAACCCCTAAACCCCTAGATGCCTAGACCCCTAGACCCCTAAACCCCTAAACCCCTAAACCCTAAACTGCCCTAAACCTCCTTAATCGGCCCATAGGTTGAAAGATGGAGAACCCTCGCGATAAAAAGCCAAAGGTGGGAGTGCTGCTATCAACCGTCTTGCCCTTAAAACCCTTTAGGGTTTAGGGTTTAGGGTTTAAGGTTTAGGGTTTGGGGTTTAGGGTTAAGGGTTTAGGGAACCCTACGACCCTTCAACCCCTAAGCCCTAAACCCGCAAACCTTAAACTCAGCCAGTAAGCTTGCTGGGTTCGTGTGAGGGAGCTTACGCGAAGATACCCACAAGCGGGTTATACTGCAAGTAGCAGAGTACCCGTGTTGGGGTAGCTCTTCTTCAGTTCCTTATCAAGAACCCCTTGGCAGCCCAGCAATGCTCCCTAAACCCTAAACCCTAAACCCTAAACCCTAAACCCTAAACCCTAAACCTAAACCCTAGTCTTTTTGGTGCTAGGTTCCCTGATAAAGTAACCAACCAAACAAAGGGTACCCTTATCATCAGATTGGTTCCTGGGCTACCAAGTCTTCAGTAGGGACCTTGAGGGGGCAACATGGGGAAATCTAGGGGTTACTGAGGCACATAGGGACTATATAAGGTGTTTAATGTATTATGGAGGGTTAGAAAGGCGGAATAAGACTAAGTGTCCCTCCTAGGGGTCCCTCCTTACGTCCCTTCATCAGTTCCTTATCAAGAACCCAGCTTGGGCTTAGGTTTACAAGGGCTGGCATCACTCTAGAAGTTACATGGGCCCTGAACATGGTCCCCTACCTCCTTTAAAGGGTTCTGAAGTATGCTTGGGCTGTATAGGGTATATACAGTAAGGGTTTTTTAAGGGGTCCCCTGTTCAGGGCCCCTGTTTAAGGGGCCATGTAACGACCCTTAGAATCATCGAGCAGAAGAAGGACACGCTTTTTAATTCCAGAGCGCAAGATGGGAGTCGTCAAGTCCAGACCGTTTGTATTTCCTGCGCAACATTTTGCCGAACCGCGCTTTTCAGTCGTGGCCAAGACGCTCGCCAAGGTTATTCACCTTGCCCTCCCAGATGCCCTTCAGCAAGAAAACTCCGACCGGATATTCAAAGCCTTGGCGTTGCTCAGGGCTTCGGGCCTCAAGCCTCGGGTCTCGGTACCTAAACCCTAAACCCTATACCCTATACCCTATACCCTATACCCTAAACCCTATACTCTATACCCTATACCCTAAACCCTAAACCCTTCCCCTCCCCTCCCCCTTCCCCCCCGATCTGGTGCCCAACCCAAAGGGTGCTACCGCCGCGCTGGCTGCGCTGGAGGCGGCCATCAAGGCGCCACCCTGCAAGGTTTTGGGTTTAGGGTTTAGGGCTTACGGCTTAGGGCTTAGGGCTTAGGGCCCAGGGCTCAGGGTGTTTTAGGTTTTCCAGCTCTTGCAGACTCAGCTCAACTCAAGGAAGAATCAACCCCCAACCCTAAACCCTATATCCTAAACCCAAACCCTGAACCCTAAACCCTAATCCCTAAACACGCTTTTGCAGATTCTCCTGGATGTTGTCTTCTTTTTTGAAAGGTCCGGTGTTAGCCCTAAGATCCCAATGTTCAGATGCTTTACTGGGATTTCTTGGGTTTGGGGTTTAGGGTTTGAGGTTTAGGGTAACCCTAAACCCTAAACCCTAAACCCCAAACCCTAAAACCCTAAACCCCTAAAGACCAGCCCCTAGCAGCAGCCCCCAGGAGGCCCGAAACCCTCAAGACCAGCCCAGTCGCCCCGAATGCCAAAAGAACTGGAACCAACACGAGTAATGCCCACGAACTTTAGGGTTTAGGGTATAGGGTTTGGGGTTTAGGGTTTAGGGTTTAGGGTTTAGGGCTGTCCACGAACACTTTGGGGTTCCGAAATTAGGGGTACCTGATTGGGCCGATTGGGGTTTTTATTAAAAAGGAATCCTACTAGTTGGGTTACATTTGGGGTCAGCTGTTTTGGTAAACCCCCCATGGATACTGTCCACGAAAATTTGGATAGTGCCCATGACAATTCGGGTCATGCCCACAGAGGCTTGGCCAATGTCCACAGAGCTATGGCCACTTCGTAACCAATGCCCACGGATAGCTTTCATCAACGATGCCAACGAACATTTGGATAATGCACACGGAAGTTTGGACAATGCCCACGAAAAACATTAGGAGAATGCCCTGAGATGGTTATCAGGAGTTCACAAAATTAGGGCTTGGGGGCTCCCCACCCACCCACCCCCAACGAAAACCGAAGCTGATCACCCCTAGGTATTTGACCCGAGCTGTAGGCTTTCGAGTCTGGGGATTCGGGATCCTTGCGAAATCGTGCTTGGGATTCGGAGTTTGGGGGGCTGAGGGTTTAGGGGTTTAGGGGTTGAGTTGTTTAGGGTTTAGGGTTTGGGGTTTAGTTAGTTGAGTTGCTTCGGGTTTAGGGGTTTAGTTGTTTAGGGGTTTAGTTGTTTAGGGGTTTAGTTGTTTAGGGGTTTAGGGTTTGACGCTTAGGGGTTGAGGGTCCTCGCTTGCGAGCAGGTTGCGAATAGCGCGATCAACAGCACCAAGTCCATGTTGGGAGTGCCTGCATCTCAGAAGAATCCTAAACCCTAAACCCTAAACCCTAAACCCTTAACCCTTAACCCTTAACCCTTAACCCTAAACCCTAAACCCTAAACCCTAAACCCTAAACCCTAAACCCTAAACCCTAAACCCTAACCCTAAACCCTAAACCCTTAACCCTTAACCCTAACTCCTGAGAGAAAGATCCTCGTGCACAAAGAATCCTTAAACCAGGTAGACCTTTGGGTTTTTTCACGTCTTCCCTTTTTGGGTTTGAAGGCACCATGAATAGGAGTATTTGTTCAAAGGCATCATATTTAGGAGTATTATGTTAAAGGCATCAGATTTAGGAGTATTTGTTTAAAGGCATCAGATTTAGGAGTACTTGTTTAGAGGGTTCTAAGCTCTAAGGGCCATCCTAGCAAACAACCCTGAAACTTTTTCGGCTCTAGGCCCCTCGCAGCGGCCAATCCTTGAAACCACTTAGGGTCAAGGGTCTAAGGTCTAAGGTTTAGGGTTAAGGGTTAGGGTTTAGGGTTTAGGGTTTAGGGTTTAGGGTTTAGGGTTTAGGGTTTAGGGCTGAGTGTTGGTTTAGGGACTTTCTTTGCTGGCATACCACGAAGACACCCCCCAAAGGGTCTGCATCAAGTCGTGAATGTGTGGAGAGTTGAGGCTTGAGGGTTTTTGGGGTTTACAGTTTACAAAGATGAACCTCAACCCGAAATCCCAGGCCAGGGTTCGAGCTTTCCCCTGTGGCTTCGGGTGGGTTTAGGGTGTAGGGTGTAGGGTGTATGGCGTAGGCTTTAGAGGTTAGGGTTTAGGCTTTAGGGGCGTTGGGCTTCGGCTTTGAACATTCAGGATTTCGGGATCTAAAATCTTTGGATTGAGGGGTATAGCATCTAGGACTTCGCTGTAGGGCTTAACCTTAACCCAAACCCTACACCCTAGACTCTAAACCCTAAACCCCAAACCCTGAACCCTAAACCCCAAACCCGAAACCCCAAACGCCACACACTAAACAACCCTAAACCCTAAACCCTAAACCCTAAACCCTAAACCCTAAATCCTGAACACTAAACCAAAGAGGTCTCAGGATCCTGGAGGATCTTTGGGTTCCTGACTTCACGAAACCCTTCATCCCTGGGGTCAAGTTCTTCAAGGAAGCTTATGGGTTTAGGGTTTAGGGTTTAGGGTTTAGGGGTACCTTCAAGGTTCCTATGGGCTTAGGTTGATTCTTTGGGTTTTAGGTTTTCCGGGCCCAGGTTGTGGGGGGGGCTTACAGGTCGATCGGGGTCTCCCCATACAAAGTTTAACCCTAAGCCCTAAACCCTAAACCCTTAACTTAGGTTTGGGGAGAGTTCGGTTTGTTGTTGGGTTTGAGGGCTTAGGGTCCACCCCCACCCCCCCCACCCCCCGCCCACACCCATTCACTTCACCATCATGGCGAACCAGTCGGTGTCAACATGCTCCTATCAGGGCTTAGGGTCTATACATTATATCTCTAGGGTTTAGCGTTTCAGGTTTAGAGTTTAGGCTTTAGGCTTGAGGGTAGGGTTCGGGGTTTAGGGTTTGGGGTTGAGGGTCACACGTCACACGGCCCTGACATCCAAGGCGGCAAAGCCGAAACCAAAAGCAGCGCCAGCAATCCTGCGCCCATTTCTTCACACACCTTGAGGTCGACTGGCAGCATGAGGGTTTAGGGTTTCGGGTTTAGGGTTTAGGGTTTAGGGTTTAGGTCGCCGCGAAAGAAGTTACCTGCTGGAGAAGGGTGTCACGATCTTCTTTCGCATCACACAAGGAGGCCACACCCGCGCTGGGACCAGCCCGCCGGGGGTCTGGTACTTGAAGGTTCATGGTACTTACTAACCAATGATAACTGTACTTATAACCCTACTTATAATACCTCTAAGGGGCCTTATAGGGGTTATCCCACTTATAAGTAGGGTTGTAAGCCCAGTTAGAATTGGTTAGTAAGTACCATGAACCTTCAAGTATACGCCCGACAATTTCAACACAATGTGCCGGATGGGGCTGGAGATGCGAAGACAGCCCGAGTGTCAGGGTCTAGGGCTTAGGGTTCGCGTTGAGGGGTTAGGGTTTAGGGTTTAGGGTTTAGGGCGTTTAGGGTTTAGGGTTCAGGGTTTAGGGCCTTCTGTGCTTCACGCGCCCAGGAAGCGGCTAGATCTGAAGCGCTTGTCTCCAGATCTCACGGCCTCTACCCTCGAGGAGCCGCTGACTGCATACTGGAAGATCTCCCAAACCCTTCAACTCTAACCCCTGGAGGCCTTGCGGGCGGTTTAGGGTTTAGGGTTTAGGGTTTAAGTAGGGTTTGGGTTTGGGTTTAGGGTTTAGAGCCACAAAGTTTACTGTAGGGTTTTGGGAAGCCAAATGTCCCAACACAGCCAGCATACACCAAAGAAGCCGCCGAGGCCAGCAAAAGGAAACAGCCAACGGTTTACGAACAACCTGACCCCCCAACCTAGACCCCTTTTTCTTGAGTCCAGGAACAACCTGAATCCCTTAGAGCGCCCAAGCCCAAGGACCCTTAAGGTTAAAGCGCAACCCCTAACCCTTAAGCTCTGGCCAGCGGTCCTTTTGCGGCTAAGAATCCTTGGACCCCCTGCCCGCCACGGTACCTTTAAGAACCAAGAGCTTTGGGGCAAGACCTATGTTAAGGTTTAAGGGTTTAAGGCTCCCCTAAACCCCCTAAACCCCCTGAACCCCCTAAAAACCCCTAAACCCCCCCCTAAACCCCCCTAAACCCCCCTAAACCCCCCTAAACCCGCCTAAGCCCCCCAAACCCCCCCCTAAACCCCCCTAAACCCCCTAAACCCCCCTAAACCCTACACTAGCTGGGTCGATCCCACTCGTCCGCGATGTGGAATTCAGGGCTCGAGGTTGCCCCAGAGAGCCCAAGATCCCTTAGTGGTAAGGTTTAGGGTTTGGGGTCCCTAAACCCTAAACCCTACACCCTAAACCCTTAACCGGTTTATGGTTTAGGGGTTTAGGGTTTGGGGTTTGGTGTTAGGGGTTCAGTTCAGAGTTTCGGGTTTTGGGTTTAGGGTTTGAGCTTTGTTTTACCATAAATGCATCAACTATAAAATTCTGGTCTCTTTTTGGTGATTTAAGGGGTATCCCTTATTGAGGAAATTTGAGGAAAACAATGCTGACAAATTGAATCACAACATCGTGCGCCCTATTCTGTTTTATGGTGCGTTCCGAGATGAAGGGGTGCGGGGCTCTCTGTGTGATGGCGGTTCACGGTTTAGGGCTTTGGAATGAGACGCCTAAGCCTACGTTTGCGAAAACTAGGCCCTGTTATGAGACCCACAATCCCCAGCCGTGTTCCAAACCCGAAGCCCTAAACTCTGACCCTGCACCCTCGAACCTCAACCCTGGACCCTGAACCTTAAACCCTATGAGCCCCAATCCCTGAACCCTGAACCCTGAACCCAAACCCCACAAACACCCCTGAATCTTCAACCCTATACGCCCTAAACCCTAAACCCTAAACCCTGAAACCCCCCGGGTCGAATCACTTTCAGGAGCTGGATAGCCTTCAGAAGCGCCCGCGCGCTCAGCAACGTCATGCCGAAGGGTTTAGGGTTTAGGGTTCAGGGTGTAGGGTTTAGGGTTTAGGGTTTAGGGTATAGGGTTTGGCGCGCTGCGCATTCTGCGCGCTGGTAGCGGCTTGACCTCCTACATATGTGGGGTGTTGACATATAAGATTTGTCAGCTTCTTCCGGAGGCGCCATTCTATGACGTAGAGTGCGTGTAACTTAGGGTTTCATCAAGGACCCTTGGTTTAGATAGGTCAGATCGGCCTCTGCATGAGCTCTTTTAACCCAGATGCCAAAAACATGATCCAAAAAGTAGATCCCCTGAAGGCTTCCTAAAACTAACTCAATAGTAGTAGAGGGCACTATCTGAAGGTTTTTTTTTTGGCTCCTCCCAAGGGTCTGCGAACTAAAGATCCGTATATGCGGACGCTCCAAAGCTCAAATGATACGGCAGCAACTGCCCGGGCCCTAAGGCCCCAAGGCCCACTTGGAGGTTCATGGTACTTAGTAACTACTTGTAACTGTACTTCTAACTGTACTTATAACTCCATTCGGGCACTTAAGGGGCTTATAAGTGGGTTATAAGTACAGGTATAACTATAGTTACGAAGTACCATGAACCTCCAAGTAAGCCCCAAAGCCCAGGGGCCTCCAGCGCTCATAGGCTTTAGGGTTTCGAGGGTTGAAAAGGACTTAAACCAGAAACGCTGAACCAGGGTTTGTAGGATCTACAAGGAAGTAAAGAAGCCCGACTCTAAACCCTCAACCCTAAACCCCAAAAAGCCCCCCATAAAGCCCTACAGGGTCCAGAAGCCCTGAACCCTAAACCCTGAACCCTGAACCCTGAACCCTGAACCCCAAACCCTAAACCCTACACCCTACGCCCTAAACCCTGAACCCTAAACCTTAAACCTTAAAACCCTAAACCCTAAACCCTGAACCCTAAACATAAAGTCTACTAACCCCTAAACCCCTGAGCCCCCAAAAAGCCCCCCAAGCCCTCTAAGGCCTGGACGATGGCTCGACGAAGCTGGCGCAGAGCAAGAAGGTGGTGGCCGACCACCAGAGCGAGGCGCGATGTGGGGTCTCGGGGTATTTATAGGGTTTAGGGTTCTTGGGGTTCATAGGGTTTAGGGTTTCGGGTTTAGGGTTCATAGGGTTCTTAGGGTTCGTAGGTTCATAGGGTTTTGCGTTTAGGGTTTAGGGTCTCGGGTTCATAGGGTTCATAGGGTTCATAGGGTGTAGGGTTTAGTGTGTAGGGTTCATGGGGTTTAGGGTTTAGGGTTTAGCGTATAGGGCATAGGGTTTTGGGTTCTTAGGCTTCTTTGGCTTCTTAGGCTTCTTGGGCTTCATAGGGTTCATAGGGTTCATAGGGTTTAGGGTTAGGGGTTTCGGGTTTAGGGTTCATAGGGTTCATAGGGTTCATAGGGTTTAGGGTTTAGGATTCTTGGTAAGATATCAGGGTTCATAGGGTTGAGCGTTTAGGGTTCTTAGTGTTCTTAGGGTTCTTAGGCTTCTTAGGGTTCGTAGGGTTCATAGGGTTTAGAGCTTAGGGTTTCGGATTTAGGCTTCAGAGGGTTCTCAAAGTTCTAGGGTTCCGGGTTCATAGGGTTCTTAGGTTCATAGGGCTCATAGGGTTCATGATTCATAAGGGGTTCACAGGGTTCATAGGGTTCCTAGGGTTCATGGGGTTGATCTCACTGCCCTCATCCCGAACGAGGTTCCTTAAAGTCTAAGGGGGATCCTCGTAAACCCTGCGCCCGAAAACCTCCTTCACGGACTTTGGGAGTTTATGGCCTGGACTGCGGCCTCGAGGCACCCTTTTTCTTGCGTCAATCGCCAACCTTCACAAGACTGTTGGAGGGTGTTTTGAGCTGTTGGTTTTGCAACCCTAAGCCCTAAGATTGAAACCCTAAGACCCTAAGCTCCAAAGCTCCTAAACCCTAAACCCTCGACCCTAGACCCTAAACCCTAAACCCTAAACCCTAAACCCTAAACCCTAACCCCAAACTACATGGTATATGCTAGCTCCTGTAGGGTTCAACGCGGAGAGAAGGGGATCGCAAGGGCAAGGATGGCTTCTTCAGGGGCTGAGAGGTTTTTGGCTTAGGCAAAACCCTGAGGCTTTAAGGGCTCGATTTTTCCCAAAGTAGTTTAGGGTGTAGGGTTTATACCCCAAACCCTAAACCCGAAGCCCTAAACCCTAAACCGTGAGGGTTTAGGGTTTACCTGCTGCGCAAGGCCTTAGGGATATGTTGAGGGTGCATCTCCCTCCCTTACGCCCGAATATAGCTTAGACCACCTGAAGCCCGAAACACCCTAAACCCTAAACCCTAGCCCTAAACCCTAAACCCTACACCCTACAGTCGAAACGACACAGCCCTAACACCCAACCCCAACGCTGGACCCTGAACCCCCGAAGCAACCCTAAACCCTAAACCCTCAACCCTCAACCCTAAACCCTAAACCCGAAACCCTAAACCCTAAACCCTAGCCTGAAGCCGCCGACTTAGGTCCAGAAGAAGGAGCTCGATGTGAAGCTGAAGGAAGCCACCGACCTCTGTGAGGTTCCCGATAGGGTTTGGGTTTTTTTTAGGGTTTAGGGTTTAGGGTTTAGGGTTTAGGGTTTAGGGCTCTGGGTGTGGGATTTTGGGATGTAGGCTTCGGGGCATGGGGTTTGGGGTTTGGGGCTTCGGTTTGTTTGGGCTTAGGCTTCGGGGTTTGGGGCTTGGGGTTTGGCCAGTGCCTCCACAACCCGCAAGCCTCAACCCGAAACCCAGTGTTGCTGGCATGCGGATGGGCGGGGGAGGGGGGGGGGGGGGGGGCGGGTTCCTCATCGTGCGAAGGAGAAGTTGGGTTTAGGCGTCGCTTTGGGGGCATCGGGCTTAAAACCTTCGACTGCTGCTTCCTTACTTCAGGGTTGAGTGGTTTAGAGGGTTTATTTATAGGGTTGAGGGCTCCTGCGAAGGTTGACGCATTTCCTTCAAGGGGGTCCCCAGACGTCCTGCCAAGAGGGTTACCCCCAATTATCTATGATTGGGCTGCAGGAGTACTTTCGCAGGAGGGATCCGATATCCTCTGATGCCATATGACGCAGGATTTAGGCTTCAACGTTGGCCCCGTCACCCTAAACCCTCCACCTTTTGTTCCTTAAAGCACTCTAGGTTCAGGGTCTACAGGGCTCATAATCAATCAATCGAAACCCTCGTGCTGCATTGCTGTTGGCAGACCGCGCGGCAGAGCTGGGAAAAGATCTCGGAGGCCTACCTGCGCGCCGGAGGGAAAGGGGTTTAAACCCTAAACCCGAAACCCTAAACCCTAAACCCGAAACCCCAAAGCCTCCAAGCCCTGAGGGCTTGCTTTCGGCGGTTGGGCTTTCAAGATGCTTCGGGTGCCTTCAGCCCTAAACCCTAAACCCTAAACCCTGAACCCTGAACCCTAAACCCTAAACCCTAAACCCTAAACCCTAAACCCTAAACCCTTAACAACACAAGCCCCCCGAAGGCCATCAAACCCAACAACGAACCCCTAGCCTGATTCTTGATCCTTGGGGTAACCTGCGGGAGGCTTGGCCTGTGAACCCAAAACCCCAGAAGCCCTCAACCCTGCACCCTAAACCCTAAACCCTAAACCCTAAACCCTAAACCCTAAACCCTAAACCCTAAACCCTAAACCCAGATCATGTGCCCAGTCCAGGACATGCCCGCGGAGCGCATGCGGACCGAATGCCGACTCGCAGGCCCAGAGGGGACTTCGAGTCGTGGATTCGGTTTTTTCATCTTTAGGGCTTTGAGTTGTGAGGGTTTAGGGTTTAGGGTTTAGGGTTTAGGGTTCAGGGTTCAGGGTTGTTCGGTTTAGGGTTTAGGGTTTAGGGTTTAGGGTTTAGGGTTTAGGGTTTAGGGTTTATAAGGGTTTAGGGTTTAGGGTTTAGGGTTGTTCGGTTTAGGGTTTAGAGGTTTGGGGCTATTAGTTCAGGGCTTTAGGGCAAAAGACACTAGTATAAGCCATTTCGTATACGACTCTCATGTTCTGATGGTTGCTTTGGGGGAAGGTGTTTCGCAAGGCGGTAAACCTGAAGCTCGTTTTTTAGAAGCCTATAACCTACCCATCCCTACCCTCTTCAGGCCCTAAACCCTAAACCCTACACCCTACACCCTAACCCCTGAACCCTAAACCCAAAACCCCATCCCTACCCTCTATAACGTTGTGGCAGGCACGCACATCAAGAAGGCCACGGACGCCGTATCGCACCTCGACAGGCCTGTTATTTGGGGTTTACGGTTGTGGCTTCTGGGTTTAGGGTTTAGGGTTTAGGGTTTAGGGTTTAGGGGCTTTGGGTATTGAGTTTTTTGGGCTGTGAGGGCTTAGAGGATGTCGGGTTCAGGGCTCCTTACATGCAAGGGCTTACCAAGCTTAAGCTTCGGCTTCTCTGGTTGTTTCATGCGTTTCCCTACTACCCCCCCCCCCCCTCTGTTCTACCCCCTCTAGGTTCCCCCGTTAAAGAACCTCAATTAGGCTGAGTTATCCCTAAATAGCCTGAATTAGGGGGAACCTAGAGGGGGGTAGTATAGAAGGGGTAGTAGGGAAATCCATGATTGTTGGGGGGGGAACTTTTCCCTCAAGTTAAACGCCCTAAGCCCTAAACCCTAAACCCTAAACCCTAAACCCTAAACCCTAAACCCTAAACCCTAAACCCTAAACCCTAAACCCTAAACCCTAAACCCTAAATCCTGTTCGGTCTCGGGGCTTTGGGTTTAGGGCTTAACGGGCTTAGGGATGCCCCTCCCCTCCCACCCCCGAGCCCCAAACCCCAGGTTTAGGGTTTAGGGTTTAGGGTTTAGTGTTTAGGGTTTAGGGTTTAGGGTTTAGGGTTTAGGGTTTAGGGTTTAGGGTTTAGGGTTCCCAACATCCAAAACCCTCAACCTGGCGCCCAAAACCCTCAACCCAGAACCCTCAACCCCGACGCAGGCTCGTGGCAAGCCGATATGGCGAAATCCGACGGCTACGCGAGCCGCGGGCTCAGAGCCTTTGGCTAGTGTTTAGGGTTTAGGTTTTAGGGTTGAGGGTTTAGGGTTCAGGGTTCAGGGTTTAGGTTTAGGTTTAGGGTTTAGGGCTTAGGGCTGCACTAGGGCGCCCCATCTTGACTTACGCGGCCTGTTGGCGGGCCGCCATTACGAGCAGCAGGGTAACAAAAAGGGCCAACTGTTCGGATCAAGCTCCTCCATATCAATCGCTAGTCTGAGCATCTTTTCTGTTTAGGCAGGGTTCAGGCCCAGTGCTCTGGAGATCAGACGCGATCCTTATGTCAAGGGATGAAGACTCGTACCCCTAAGGTTGTACCCCTAAAGGTTCCCCTTAATTTACTCCTAATATGGCTCTTATATTCCCCTAGGGATCCTTAAAAGGGACCCCCAAAACCCAAGGGTACAACCTTAAGGGTCCAAGGAAGAACCCCTAGATTATGGACAGTTCTCCAAATTGGGGTCCCTTTTTGGGTCCTTCCTACTTGGAGGTTCATGGTACTTTGTAACTACTTGTAACTGTACTTAGTACTTATAGCTGCACTTATAACCATATTAGGGCACTTAAGGGGCTTATAAGTGGGTTATAAGTACAGGTAGAATTAGTTACAAAGCACCATGAACCTCCAAGTATAGGACAGATATGATCCAAAAGGGACAATCATTGAGAGCACTTCTCATTCGAAACCTACGTCTTAAACGGCCTGTGGTTAAGTCCAGGGCGCGTCATCGTCCCCCAAGTTTCCATGGTTTCCACAAACCTGAAGCCCCAAAGCCTAAACCCTAAGCTCTAAACCCTACTCTAAGATTTGACTAGGAGCCCAAAAAGCATAAACCCTAAACCCTAAATTCTAAACCCTAAACCCTAAACCCCAACCCTAAACCCCAAGCTAGCATGAGCCAGGTTGGAATCAGACAACGCTGCCCTCGCGGAGATGCAGGGCATCATGAAGCAAGTCGAGACAATGAAGGCTCCGTCTATGGGAATCCGAAGTATGGGCCCTTAGTATATAGTGTATACAAGGGCTATGTAACAAGGGACCGGAATTAAGGGCCCATACTTGCTTAGTAGCTGAATGAGTACCTTCTCACACTTTTTGGGATACTAGAATTCCCCTTGTAGAATAGGGTCTAGGGCTAGGGGTTTAGAGCCTGAACCCTAACGCGTATAGGCTTAGGGGTTTCAGGGTTTCAGGGTTCAGGGCTGTAAGCCGTGAACTCACAACTGCTCAGCTCTTCACACAGTAACTTGCTCCGGCAGACAAGCCCTGGTGGCCCTTGTTCCCACCTGCGTTAAACTCAATCCCCGAACCCGAATACCCTAAACCGCAAGCCCACGAAACTTCAAGCCCTCAATCCTCAACCCTAAACCCCCTAAACCCTCAACCCTGTAAACCCGAACTCATGCCCAACAACCCTACTACCCCCCCACCCCCCCCACCCTAGCAAGCCTCTTCTTCAAGCCTTTCGGCCACATAAACTATGGGGTTAGTATTTAGGGTGTAGGGTTTAGGTTTTAGGGTTTTGGGTTTAGGGTAGGTCCCCCAGTAGTACCCTTATTCCCTTGTTGTATTTGGGGGTTCCTTCCTTATACTCATGTTGGAGTACTGGGGAAGCTAGCAAAAACTCATCTTTCAACCCCGGTAACCCTTTCAGAACTTGGAGACCTCAATCCACAGACCTCTCACCCCCCAAAGCCCTGAACTTCAACCCTAATGTAGTCCTGAACCCTAAACCCAAACCCTAACCCCCTAGCCCCTACACCCCAAATCCTAAACCCTAGAGCCTAACCTTTCAAGCCCCTAAACCCTAAACCCAAACCCCAAAACCCCTAACCCCCTGTAGAAACCCTAAACCCTTATCCCGCCCCAGGCGGACCTGGACAAGCTCAGGGGACAGCTCTCTGGCAGCTTGCGGGTTGCGAACCCTTAGGGTTTAGGGTTTTGGGTTCTGTGTTCAGGGTTTTGGGTTCTGTGTTCAGGGTTTAGGGTTTTCGGGTTCGGGTTTAGGGTCTTAGAGTCTTCGAGGTTTACATGTGGGCGCCGACTGAAAGGTTAAGAACATCCAAGGGAGCGCCTCGACCCGAAAACTCCAAAACTTCCACACTGCTCGAGCTCCATCGCCCGCTCCCGAGCGTCAATCCCTAAACCTCCAGAACCCAAACCCTAAACCCTAAGCGCCCTAGACCCTACTTTTTCCAGGAGTAAGCCCTAAAAACCGTATTTGCTCCTCTACAGGGAAACCCCAACATTTCTCAGTCGGAGCCCACATGCGGAGGTCTAGGGTCTTAGATGCATGGAAGACGTAAGAAGAACACTGCGGTTTAGGGTTTCGGGCTTTGGGGGTTTAGGCGTTTAGGCGCATCGGCGTTTGGTGGTTCAGGGTTTAGGTGTTTCGGGGTTTACGCGTTTCAGGGTTTAGGCGTTTAGGGTTTTAGGGTTTACCATGGTTTGGGATTTACGTGGTCTAGCCATTCATCCAAATTTATTCCTTAAGCATACGGGGTAATGGGAACCCCAGCACTCTTAACCCTGCACCCTTTACCAGAAACCCGACCTTAAGGGGAAAAAGGAGGGACCCCTAGAAGAAACCCTTAATCTTGTTCCCCTCTATAGCCTATGTATTACATGGTCCCTCTATTCCTAGGTGGCCCTTCAGTAAGCCCTAAAGAACCCCTAAGGTCCCTTAGAAGGGTCCAAACCTAAACCCTAAACGCTAAACCCTAAACCCTAAGCCCTAAGCCCTAAACCCTAAACCCTACACCCTAAACCCTAACCCCTAAACCCTAAACCCTCAACCCTCAACCCTCAACCCTCAACCCTCAAACCTCAACCCTCAACCCTAAACCCTAAACCCTAAACCCTAAACCCTAAACCCTAAACCCTAAACCCTAAACCCTAAACCCTAAACCCTAAACCCTAAACCCTAAACCCTAAACCCTAAACCCAACCCAAGTTCACGTGCCTAAGGCTCCGTGATGTTGAGCTGAAGAGCGCGGGACAGCGACTTGCGAAGGTGGGGGGGGGGGTTTAGGGTTTAGGGAGGGTTTAGGGTTTAGGGTTTAGGGTTTAGGGTTTAGGGTTTAGGGTTTAGGGTTTAGGGTTTAGGGTAAACCCGAGATCCGAAACCCATTAAACCCATGTCGAGGCGAAGTTTATGAGATGGCTCGAGAAGCCTAATGTGGGATCCTGTTTAGGGGCCTCTGTTTCTGAAGTCAAGTTTGCCGAGCTATTCAGGATGGTGTGGTTTTTTCGGAGTCTGGTGGCGTCTGCTTCCGGGCGTGGTAGGAATATTTCGTGCAGCGTTCCTTCAAAGTCAGTTGCCGGGCCATTAAGGGTTTAGGGCTTAGGGCATAGGGCATAGGGCTTAGGGCTTAGGGTTGGGTTTAGGGTCTAGGGTCTAGGGTCTAGGGTTGAGGGTTGAGGGTTGAGGGTCGAGGGTTGAGGGTTGAGGGTTGAGGGTTGAGGCTTGAGGGTTGAGGGTTGAGGGTTTAGGTTTAGGGTTAGGGTTTAGAGTTTATGGGTTTAGGGTTTAGGGTTTAGGGTTTAGGGTTTAGGGTTTAGGGGTTTTTTACCTTCATACAATCTCATCCATCAGGATCATGGCGAGGGAAACACATCAAGCAGGGTCCAACATTAATCCGAGCAACCTTTAAATCCTCAGCCCTATTTCGGGTTCAGGGTTAAACTCTGTTTAGGGTTGAGGGTTTAGGGTTTAGGGTTTAGGGTTCTCTAAACCCCCAAACCCCTAAACCCTAAGCTCCAAACCCCAAGCCGTCCTTACGTCCGAGTGCACAGGCACCAAGTCCAGCCTCTGGGTTTAAAAGGCGGCCCCAAACGCTTAACCCCACGGCTTCAGGGTTTAGGGGTAGGGTTTAGGGTTTAGGGTTTAGGGTTCAGGGTTCAGGGTTTAGGGTTTAGGGATGAGGGTGGAAGCCCTGCAAATCCTTCATCGGGTCTTTCTCAGACCTAAGTAGATATTCTTTGGGTGCAGCCTCAGCTGTGGGGGCTTTTCTTGGCTGAGGCCTTCCCCACGTAGCTCGTAACACTCCTACACCCTAAGCATCCCTAGACCGTAAACCCTAAACCCTAAACCCCAAACCCCAAATCCCAGACCCCAAACCCCAAACCCTAAACCCTAAACCCTAAACCCCAAACCCCAAACCCCAACCCCGATCAATCCCGAGGAGTCGGCGGAGCTTGTGGAGACGCTGGAGAAGAAGATGGTGAGTAGGAGCCCAAGTGTGCGAGACTCTTGGGATGCGTGCCACGTCCACCGATTTTGGGTTTAGGGTTTAGGGTTTAGAGGGTTTAGAGAGTTTAGAGAGTTCAGAGAGTTTGGAGAGTTTCGGGTCCTGGACGAAACATGGCCAACGATGTTTACACATCACCCGAAAAGGCGCCCAACTGTTGGTAACCAACTTCAGGGGTTTCCCTGTCATTGCAACGGCTGTTAGTGGCTGCCCGGGCATGTGCCCAAACCAAGAACCAAGCCCCAAAAGGCTTTATATAGGGTTTAGGGTTTAGGGTTTACGTTAAGACTCTCGATGAGCCAGTCTAGGTTTGAGCGTTCAAGGTTCAGACTCTTTAGAGCTCATGCTATCTAGTGACGGTGTCTTCCCGGGCCTAAACCTTAAGCTGGCCAAAAGCCCTCAACACAGGTTTGGGTCAGCCCCCCCCCCCCCCCCCCCCCCCCCCCCCCCCCCCCCCCCCTTCCCCTACCCTCTAGCTAAACCCTAAACCCTAAACCCTAAACCCTAAACCCTACACCCTAAACCCTAAACCCTAAGCCCTAAACCCTAACCCTAACCCTATAAGCCCTTCAGCCCACTGGAGTCCCACCCCCCTGCATGGTCTCAGGCCCAGGAAAGCCTCAACATAGAATTCGGAGCCCTTGCACCCTTTTATACCATGAAAGGCCTCCAGCAGAAATCCGAAACTCAGAAACCTAAACGAAGGCTCAGGAATCAGTGAGGATATCGAGGAATTCCAATCATGTGGTGCCGTAAACCCTGAAACCTATGAGCCCACACTCTGAACCCGAAACCCTACCTGCCCTGAGCTTTGAACCCTACAAACACTAACCCCTATAAACCCCCTGAACCCTATAAACCCTGTAGACCCTATAAACCCTATATACCTGTAAACCCTGTAGACCCTATAAGAGCCTATACAACCTCTAGAGCGTGGCGGCGCATGCTAGCTGTCATCATGGCATCCTAGAGTCATAGTCACTGCCTGCTTTGCGGTTGTGTCTTTGGAGCTTATAGGGCTTACTTACAACACAAGCAAACCCTAAACCCTAAACCCTAAACCCTGCACCCCAAAACCCTACACCCCAAAACCCTAAGCCCCGCACCCATGACCTTGTCATCATTTGGGAGAGGAGGCAGTGTGCCCAGCGCCACTGATGCTTCAGGTCCCGGCGTGCACAGTCTGCGCTGCAGTTAGGGGTTTAGATTTCACGTCTTTAGGGCTTCAAGGGCCCATCTTCCCCACAGATTTCAAGCAAGGCTGGCGGTCATCTGCATGGCTTCGTGAAACGGGGAGGTCGGGCTGGCAGCAAGTCAGCTTTCATACGCACACGTTTGCAAGCACTCCGCCAAACGTGGGGCCGTGACATCTTGTTATGCTCCATCGGAAGCGGAACTTGACAACAGCAGAAACCAGCTGAAACACGAGACTGGCTGTACAGGATCGGCCAAGGCATGGCTGTCAGAAATAGCCTTGCCTGCTGGACACGACGTGGTGCTGTCAGCTATTGCTATCAGGCACTGAGAAACCGGTGAGGCAAAACCGAGTTTTTGTATATTAATATAACATAGCTGCGCATCGTCTCCGAATCGTCGCAATCAAACCAGGACACAGACAAATCAGCTGAAATGCCTCGTTTCGAAAGCGAATGGTGGGCTTGGGTCGACTCGAGGGTATAAAATTCCTTCGCAACTACTAGCTCTGACGACCGAACGCTACTTTCACCTACGTCTCATGCTTTACCTCTATCAGATGGTTGCTCTTGTCCACAGCTGTGTGGGTACTGCAGCGTCCTGCACCGCGATTTTTGACCAAGGCGCCCCATGTTCTACCGATGGCGGGACTGTTTGGAGGGCCTCAGAGATAGGAGGTCACATTCCGAGACCGCTGTGGTTGCATCAGTTCCATTTTCAGGTGTCCTGCTTTTAAGCGAGCATGGCTAGATTAAGGATTCTGCCCGGGTTGTTGCGCGGAACAAGTCGACCTCATCGCCTCCAGCACATAGCGCCACAGCATCTCGGGTGTGAAACGCAGAGCGAAGTCTACAGGATCGCGCGCGCTGGGCGAACAAGCTACGCACTGAAGGGAGGGAAAGGCATTTTCCACAGGCATGGTCGACGATCCCACAAGTCACAAGGTTGTTTCGCGACGCCACGCGAACATGCGAGCTTTCACGCGCTCTCCCATGCGTAGAAATACAGTCCAACCTTCGGATGGTCGAGCAACGATTATTTTTAAAGAGTGCGCAGCATTCCCTGCCTCGGGAGCGCATTCCAAGATTCAGATTCTTTTGGGTCTGGGCCTATGTGCTTCGAAAGGGGTCATGATTTTGTTGATCCACAGGCCCAAGGTTTTTGCACACGCCGCCTGTCATGTGCTAGTGAGGCTGCGTGGACGCTCTGAGCACCTGATGTGCTATCGGTTTGTTGTCGGGATACGCGCGCAACAACTGGAAACCCAAAGAGCTCCTTGCGAAAGTCCCACAGCAGTTGCTTCAAGCAGCAATGCAGCAGAACACTTCGCTCCTCAAAAGCCGAGGTCAAGGCCACATCAAAATCTCCCAGGCTTTTTTTCCCCAACAGCTGGATCTTGTACCGACTCAAGACCTCTCAATGGATCAGGGCTCGAATTCTCGTGCTGTCAAGTACACGGACCGAGCATGCGGCTCACTTCGTTCGCGCCTTTTCTCCCGTGCCACATGCACAAGCGTTGGGCCCGGCGGCCACTGGATGTTCTCAGCCGGCAGCAGCACCTGTGCAACCACGTACACCCTTTTCAAGCTGTGCAGTGTGTCGAGATGCTTCAGCATGCAGGTTTGCCACATGTTTTCTTGGGTGTGTCAGAGCAAGTTGCAGTCGCTGTGGACAAGGAGCTGTGCCTTTGCATCCTTCCTTCCAGATATCTTCAAGCCTTACCCCCCCGTCCCCTTTCAAACGCACACCTTCCCACCCTGCCGCCCCCAAAAGCACAACATCCGATTGGGGGTTCTGTTTTGGCCCTCCCTCTGAAAATTCTTTGTGCTGAGCCAGAACTTGGAAAAGTCCACAACACTTTGGGAAGAAGATTGAGCTTCAACATCGCAGATTGTAAAGGGCTTAGACAGCTTCGAAGGAAGCTCTATGCAGTGGAGGGGGAGGGTGGGGCGGGAATTAAACATGAGGAATCCAAGCACAAGGAGCGTGCGAGAAGTGCCCATCTGGCCCAGTCAGAGGAGCAAAACAAAGCAAAGAGCTCCTACGGCAGATGTTTCGGCTAGTTTTTGGCGGGGACCGGACTGAATGCTGTAGTGCATGTCAGCACCAGAAGACAGCGAGCGGGCCATAACTTCCCGACTTACAAAATGGCACCAGGACTCCGTCTCCCATGCGGACTGCCCGAAATTCCTTGCCCCGAGCACAGAATCAGGACAAGAAAGCAACTAGCATGACTCTGTTTTCTGTTCTTGCTGCCTCTCGTTCTGTCCTTCCATTTGGGATGCCCTTCTACGAGCAGTCCTTAATAGGGATTGTAATTGGGAGGGGGGGGGGGGGTACTCTTTATCCCATGTTCCGCCGCCCAGCACAGAAACCAAAGCTGCCCTGGGGCCGGCTCGGTGCTTGGGAACTTTTTTTTATTTTTGTTTATATAAAACCCAAGAGTATATTTAAAATATATTTTTTATTAAGGTTCTGAGGGGGAGGAAAGTATATACTTGGGCCCTAAAGCTACTATATAGGAGCCCCCTTGAAAGCCCAAGTATATACGCTATGGGTAATCATATGGACCCATTTGGAAGCTATGAACAATCGCAGCACACGTGAATCATTACCTTTGACGTGTATGGTTTGTCTTCCATGCCACATCAACTACAAACTCGCACAACTGTCTGGCCCGTGGTGCAAGCTATGTCCCGAGCTTTGGAGTGCCGTCACAGCTTCTGCCGGAAAGGTGAGGGGGTGTTTTTTCTGGTCCTTAGTAGGGAATGAGGGAATGAGGTACCCTGTAGAATCCCTTAAAGGGCCCTATTTCCCTCATTCCCTACTAACAACTGGGGGGGGGTGGGCGGCGTTTTCTCGGGCCGAAGATCCTTATGAAACTGGTGGCCGTCGAACCACACCGTGTCGGATGTCCTTCTTTTCTTCTTCCTGCATGGGTGTCCCAAACCCCTAACCCCTTCAAAGTCCTGAAGGGTTGGGAAAGCGCACCATTGTTTTTGTTCTTCCTGCATGGGTGTCCCAAACCCTCCAAGCCCTTAAAAGTCCTGAAGGGTTGGGAAAGCGCACCATTGTTTTTGTTCTTCCTGCATGGGTGTCCCAAACCCTCCAAACCCTTAAAAGCCCTGAAGGGTTGGGAAAGCGACCGATGCTGCTTAGGCGCTGAGGAGGCTTCCGTGCCCCTCTTCGTCCAGAACTCGGCTTCGGTTTAGTGGGGGGGGGGGGTTAGAAGGTCTACCTGGCGAATTCTCCAAATTCTGGTGCCTTTCCTGCGTACCCTCTAGAGCCTGAAAGTGGCTGTAGTGTGAAAGCTGAGCATGATCAGATGTTCATCTTAAAGCGATTTTGTCTGCAGCTACTGGGCCGCCCTATGATAAGGACCCGGTTTAGGGTTTAGGGTTTAGGGTTTAGGGGTTTAGGGTTTAGGGTTTAGGGTTTAGGGTTTAGGGTTTAGGGTTTAGGGTTTAGGGTTTAGGGTTTAGGGTGGGACCCCAATGTAGAGAAGTTACCCTATGGAGTTTGCAGGGTTTGCAGGGCTTAGAGGGGGTTGTGGGCTCTCGGGGGTTCAGGGAGCTTGTAGGGCTAGTAAGGCTTGTAGGTTTTGTGGCTCATATGCTTCATACTGCAAAACGCAACCATGTAACCAAAACCCTAAACCCTAAGCCCTAAGCCCTAAGCCCTAAACCCTAAACCCTAAACCCTAAGCCTCTCCTGAGGGCCCAGAATCTCACCTAGAACCGCCCCACACCAAACACTCTATAGGCTACATAGGCCCTACCTTAAGAACCCCAAACCTACCTTAAGCAAAAAGAAACAAAAGCAGTTGGGTTACCTGAGAATCCTATAAGAGGTTATTATAAGTATGTTATAGTAATAGCCTGCAAAACCGTAGGGGTACCCAGGGTTCGGCATCCCGCAAAGTGCCCTCAGCAACCAATGCCCCAAAAACGGAGTCCCGAAACCCTAAACCCTACACCTTAAACTCCACACCCTCCACAACCCTGCGTTCCGCGTTCAGGGTTCCGGGTTTAGGGGCCTTAGACCCCTGAACCCTAGTAACCCTGCAGCCCTTGAACCCGAACTGCTGCAAAAACATCAATCTTAGGGTACGGAAGTAGTTACAATTTCCCTGAATATGGGCCCTTGAAAGGGGTCCCCTTGTATACCTCCCATATACCCCTCATATACCCTGCAAACCCCAAGAGCCCATACTTCAGAACCCTTAAAAGGAGGTAAGAGACCTAGAGACTCCAAAGCCCCTTAGTTAAGGAATATCCCTTAAAGTATCATAGGCACCCTCGTATGAGTTCAGGTATATTCCTGAATCAAGGGGTTTTTGGAGTCTCTGGGGACCATATGAAGGGCTCTTAATTTCCGCTAGCCTCAACCCACATGCAAAGGACGACAGCGTCGATCTCTCTGCCGCCGTTTTCCTGAAGAGCATCATCGAGGCGGGATTTGGGGTTGAAGGTTTAGGGCTCAGGGTTCCTAAAGCCTAACCCTAAACCCTAAACCCTAAACTCTAAACCCTAAACCCTACACCCTAGGGGCTTTGAGGGTTTAGGGCTTAGGGTGCTTCGATGGATTCTAAGAGTCTGGAGGCTTCCCCCCCCCCCCCCCCCCCCCCCAAGATCAACACCCCCGCGAACCCTAATGTATTATGTGCCCAGTGGTACCCTTTACCCTTTTTTGGGGTTCAAGGTTCCCTTATAAAGCAACCAGCCCCAAAAAACAGGGTGCCCTTATCATGATATGGTTACTGGGCGACTAGGCCCTCATTGGAGCTTTTGAAGATAGAAGCCTACACCCCAAACACCCGAAGCCTCATCTCCCAAGCTACAAGCTTGGACCCCTAAACGCCAAGCCCTAAGGCCTAAACCGCCTAAACACCCTAAACCCCCTAAACCCCCTGAACCCCCTAAACCCCCTAAACCCCCTAAGCCCCCTAAACCCCCTAAACCCCCTAACCCCTAAACTCCACCTGCACACAGAGCTGCCAAGGAAAACATCCCTGCGTCCCCAACCTCCTAAGACATGAACCTAGCAGCTGCAAAAGAGCGAAGCGCGGGTCTTATCAACCCTAAGCCCGTTTAGGGTTTAGGGTTTAGGGTTTAGGGTTTAGCGTTTAGGGTTTAGGGTTTAGGGTTTAGGGTTTAGGAACCCTAAGCCTTGAACCCTCATCACGAAGACTCCCAGTGCAGGCTTGCCAAGAGAGCCTCAAGCGCACGAACGAGAGCACGGAAGCCCTCGTAGACAAGCTGACCCTTGCTGACGACAAGGAGACGGCATCTTAGAAGCTGAGTTTAGGGTTTAGGGTTTAGGGTTTAGGGTTTCCTTTTTTTGGGGTGTATACAAACCTACCAGAATTGAAAGGTTAGCCTTTTTGGCCCAGGGTACTCAGCAACAAGGCCCTTCTGCTGTATTATGGGTGTTTACGAAAACAGATAGTAGGATCCCCTTAGAATAAGGACCCCAGTAAGGTTCCCTAAACCCCTATACAGGGGCTTCAACAATTGACATTGGGCTTTGGGTGTTGTTCTCGTATAATGATATAAGGCCCATCTTTGTAATTGCTCCGACAGCTATCGTTGGGGAGTGGGGGAGGTAGGGCCAACTTCATTGGAATGGGTATATGTCGGGTAGTTCGCAGTCTAAGTGCATAGCAACTGCATTGTCAATGGGCATGACCTTGGCATGGGTCCCGTGGTGTTGCAGTTCTGCCGGGAGGCAGTGGGAGGTTGCAAGGAGCACTTCTGAACAGGTAGGGTTTAGAGTTTTGGAGATCCGTGCGGATCTCCAAAATGTCGGAGGTTTCGAAAGTCGTCGAAAAGCCCGAAGCCCTATGTGCTCTGCCCCCGCTGAGGGTCCATGTACCCATATCGTATATATTTGGTCCCTAAACCCTAAACCCAAAAACCTAAACCCTAAGCCCTAAACCCTAAACCCTAAGCCCAAGCACATACCATTTAGCTATTTGCAGAGGCGGGACTGAAAGGGTTCGGGTCTGCAGGGTCTAGGATCCCTAAACCCTAAACTTTTAAACCCTAAGCCCTAAGCCCTAAACCCTAAACCCTAAACCCTGAACCCTAAACCCCAAACCCTAAACCCTAAACTGAAGCACTAGAAGCCCTCAGCCCCCAAAAGCCCCTAGCAGACTCCAAACCTCAAATCCTGCAGCCGAAACTTGGTAGCCCATTGGTACCCTTTATTTGTGTTTTAGGGTTTAGGGTTTAGGGTTTAGGGTTTAGGGTTTAGGGTTTAGGGTTTAGGGTTTAGGGTTTAGGGTTTAGGGTTTAGGGTTTAGGGGGTTCTGGGTTCCCTGAAATAAGGTAGGCAACCCAGACCAAGGTACCCTTATTACAATATGGATACTGGGCTACCAAGTATAGATCGTAACCCTAAACCCCCGAAACCCCGAAACCCCTAAGCCCTAAACCCCTAAAGCCTAAGCCCTAAACCCCTAAGGCCTAAACCTTAAACCCTAAACCCTCACCCCCCTTAACCTACTACTTCCCAAGCTGGCGCAGGGTCTTGGCGCAGTAAACCCCCCGAACCCGAGGTGGCCCCACTAGAAGCCCAAAACCCCCAAAGCCGCGGCAGGAGAGTCACCCCAAAAATTACCCTAAACCCTAAACCCTAAACCCTAAACCCCAAACGCTACACCCTAAAACCTAAACCCTAAACCCTAAATTAAAACTCTTCCGCATTCGGGCAAATATAGAGAGTGTTTTTGGGCGGTTCTTAGGCAAATAGCGGTAGAGCCTAAACGCTCTCAACCCCCAAGCCTTAAATCCCCCATTAAGGGCTGTTAGCATAAGGGGGAACATCCCAAACTAAGCCCCCAAACCCGGCATGTCCCCACTAGAATCATAGGGTTCTTAAGGGAGGAGGGTTCCCTACAGTTCCCTACAGTGCCCTAGGTACCTACCCCCCATGAACCCCCCTCCCCCTGAACCCTAAACCCCAAACCCCCTAAACCCTAAACCCCCTAAACCCCCTAAACCCCCTAAACCCTAAACCCCAAACCCCAAACCCCAAAGCCAAAGCAGGAGAAGGTCTCGGAGGACAAGTTCATCTCCTGCCTCGCCTCGCTGTCCGGGAGCCACAGTAAACTCGGAGCCCAGACCCCCGAAGCCCTAAGCCCTAAACTCTAACCCTAAACCGTAAACCCTAAACCCGAAACCCGAAACCCGAAACCCTAAACCCTAAACCCTAAACCCCAACCCCCCTAAAACCCTTCGGTTCAGGGTTATCTAGGATGCCCAGCAGTATCGTCATACCCTTTTGGGGGGGGTACTTAGGTCCCTTCTAAACTCCTTGAAAACAAAAGGGGGGGGACCCTTTTCTAACCCCAGGTTACTGGGCAACCCAGACGGTTTAAGGTCTAGCAACTTCGAGCTCAGGCTTTAGGAACCCTGAACCCTCAATCCTACACCCTATCCCTCAACCCTAAACCCTGAACCCTAAACCCTCAACCCTAAACCCTAAACCCTAAACCCTAAACCCTAAACCCTAAACCCTCAACGCAACCTTAGAAGTCCATTCGGCTCCCCCCGGCAGACCCCTGAAGGAGCCATGGCTTGATTCATCGTTTCAGGGTTGGGTTTAGGGTTTAGGGTTTAGGGTTTAGGGTTTAGGGTTTAGGGTTTAGGGTTTAAGGTTCAGGGTTCAGGGTTCAGGGTTCAGGGTTCAGGGTTTAGGGTTTAGGGTTGAGGGGGCTTGGGGCTTACGACCCCCCAGCGAAGACGACACATCCAGGGCGAAACGCTTTGGGTTCTTCTTTGGTTGCTGGCCTTCATGTTTTCGAGGACGAAACCGGTTTGCAAGGTGCTGGTTGTGGCTGATAGGATGTAGGTTTCAGGGGTTCTTGGTTTATGAGAGATACGGGCTTAAAAAACCTAAACCCGCAAACCCATAAACCCGGACCCTCAACCCGGAAGAGGCTCAACCTCTCCTCTCCCAAACGTCGGGTGTACCCCACTACACTTTGTGAATTGCAGACCCAATCGCACAAAGTTTATAGGGTCCTTATGGGAGGGCGGTTCATGGGAGATTTGGGGTTTAGGGCTTAGGGTTCAGTTTACGGTGCACTGGCAAAGGACAAGAAAAAGGGGCCCCTTCTCGTGAAACCAGTGATACGATTGTGTTCTTTAATTTAGTTTGTGCGAACCCGTGGTGCCTGCCCATGTCTGCTCTCCAAGACCCGAAAGTCCTCGAAAGACTATTCTCGGAGTACCTGCAGTGCCAGGGGAACTGGATGGCTTCTTCCCTAGTACTCGAGTCCAGTACTTCGTCCACTCACGAGGTACAGGGAAGGGAAGAGTACCTGAAGTACTGTGACCGTCGAAAACAGTACGGCAACGCGGCGGCGAAGCAACTTCGGGACGCCAAGCCGCGGGCCCAACAGGCCAATCCCCACGCCAATCCTCCCTACGTCATGGCTCATCCAGACCTCCCAGAGTGCGAGGACACCAGCTATACAACCCTAAACCCTAAACCCTAAACCCTAAACCCTAAATTTCAGCCGCCCCATTTCAAATTTCGGTACCTAGGGAACCTGAGGGAAGCCAGGGAGCCTTGGGGAGTAGTGGGGGCTCTAAGCCCTAAGCCCTAAACACTAAACCCCAAACCCTAAACCCTAAACCCTAAACCCTAAACCCTAAACCCTAAACCCTTGGGTTAGCTACCCTCCTCTACCCACGAACCTTAAACCAGAAGCCAAGCCCTTGAACCCTCAAATTCTTCTAAAGCCTAAACCCCCTAAACGCAAAACCCTAAACCCTAAACCCTGTGCGCCTAATATCCCAGGCCGGAGCTCCAGGCCAAGGAGGACGTGCCTCTCTACTCGGCCGAGGCAGAGACGCAGTGGGTGTAGGGCTTCCGGTTCAGGGTTTAGGGTTTAGGGTTGAGGGTTTAGGGGTTTAGGGGTTTAGGGTTTCGGGTTTAGGGTTGAGGGTTGAGGGTTGAGGGTTTAGGGTTTAGGGTTGAGGACTTGTTGAGGATGTTGTTTTGAAGGTTGGAGACTCATGGCTTGCCCCGGGGTTTAGAGCTGAGTCGTGCCTACAGCCCAGGGGGCCCAGGTAAGATTAGATTCTTAGGTGAGGGTTTAGGGTTTAGGGTTTAGGGTTTAGGATTTTGGGTTTAGGGTTTAGGGTTTTGGGTTTTGGGTTTAGGGTTTAGGGTTTAGGGGTCAGGGCTAGGACCCCTTCAAAACAAAAAGGGCACCCTGTTATTCCTGGGTTACTCCTGGGTCTAGTACTGGTTGTTTTCCCTTCTGGGATTTACGAGGATCATCTTAGACCCTAAACCCTAAACCCTAAACCCTAAACCGTTGTTAGAGAGCCATCCCAGTTCTGAAGGACAAGATCCCCCAAACTGTATCGGGAGCATCGGGGGTTCTCATGTTCGAGTCCCACGCCCGAAAGCCCCGAAGCCCAAAAAGAGTCTAAACAACGCCCCAACCCCTGACCCTAGAGGTCCTAAACCCTAAACCCTAAACCCGAAAAGGCCAAAGTCACTAGCCGCAAAGCCCTTAAAGCCCCTTAAAGTCCTGAACCTCTCGAACCCCAAACCTCTGTAAGCCCCAAACCCCAAGATTTTTCAGACCAATGCCTTAACCCTAAACCCTAAACCCTAAAAGCTAAACCCTAAACCCTAAACCCTAAACCCTAAACCCTAAACCCTAAACCTTCTTCCCCGGAGAGGAATTGAAGTCCGCCTACCGGTGCCTGATGCCCCCACGAAGCGAAGAAACCCAGGCCTTGAGGTTTAGGGTTTAGGGTTTAGGGTTTAGGGTTTAGGGTTTAGGGTTTAGGGTTTAGGGTTTAGGGTTTAGGGTTTAGGGTTTAGGGTTTAGGGTTTAGGGTTTAGGGTTTACTGCCTTAGGCACACAAGGTTTCATCAAGGTTTTGGGTTCAGGGTTTTGAGATTCAGGCCTTAGTCACACAAGGTTTAGGGTTTAGGGTTTAGGGTTTAGCGTTTAGGGTTTAGGGTTCGGGGTTTTAGTGTTTAATGCCTTAGGCACACACAGGGTTTAGGGCTTAGGGTTTAAGGTTTAAGGTTTGGGGTTTAGGGGTTGAAGGCCTCAAAGAGTTTAAGGGTTGGCCCAACGGCTTCAGGGTTTCTACAAGGGGTGTAGGGTTTGAGGATTCAAGGTTTGGGGTTGAAGGGTTTAAAGGGTTGAAGGGCTCAGGGGTTTAAGGGTTGCGGTTCAGGCATTGATGGGTCGCAGGGTGAATGGCTTCATAGGGTTTAGGAGTTGAGGTTTGAGGGTAGCGAAGGACTAAAGGGGGGACCCTTAGAAGGGACCTTTAGAGTTATTTAGGGCTACTTAGGCATTTTGGGACTATATAAGGTACATGCAAGGGTTTTGTGGGGATGAGGGCAGAAGGATTACGGGCCCTTCTACCCCTGAACGATACCAATGCTTCTGCCAAGGTCTTGACCTAAACCCTAAACCCTAGACCCTAGACCCCACATCCTCCTTGAGAATAGCCGGGCAGGTGCCGAAGGCAAAGCTCATGGACGTCCTGAAGAAGAGGCCGCCTGGCTCGATTTCAGAGGGCCAAGGTTCTAGGATTTAGGGTTTGCGGGTTTAGGGGTTTAGGCTTTAGGTTTAGGGTTAAGGCCTAGGGTTTGGGTTTTGGGGTTTAGGGTTCAGGGTTCAGGGTTCAGGGTCCAAGCTGGAGGCGCCGCTGCTCGGTACATGGAGGGTTTCCCAGGTTTTGGGGGCTCCTAGAATCTGAGGATCCGCAGGGGTTTAGGGTTGAGGGTTTGGATGTTAGAGGTACCCTCTTCTGGGTAGCCTAAAACCCTAAAACCCTAAAGCCGTACAGCCATCCCTCCAACCCTAAAACCCTTTGTTACACCACCTGCCGGGGGTGAGTTTATCGGTCAGACTTGTAAGGCTTGTAAGGATTTGGGCTGCGGGTTGTCGGAGGGCCTGGAGGTTAAGGTTTTGGGTTTAGGGTTTGGGGTTTAGGATTTAATTAGGGTTTTGGGTTTTGGGTTTTGGGTTGTGGGGTGTTGGGGTCGGAGTAGGGGGTCTGCTGTCATCGCTGAGCTTTTAATGACATCCACGTGCCACCTCCCCCAAGCGAGCAGATCTGTCTTCGGATTTCAGAAGACGTCAGGGACACACTGGACGCGCCCCTATATACTTTGCGTGCAACGCGCTGAGGAAAGGTGTTTTTATCTCAGTCCGTCATTCAGGCTTGGCTTAAGTAAGCTTCCAGAAATATCTTCGGGTAGTTGCATGGTCCCTTAGTATGGGCCCTTAAACGTGGACCCCTTATATACCCCATATATACCCCAGAGAGCCCATGAAACTAACTAAACCCTAAGCCTAAACCCTAAACCCTAAACCCTAAACCCTAAACCCTAAACCCTAAACCCTAAACCCTAAGCCCTAAACCCTAAACCCTAAACCCTAAACCTTAAACCTTAACTACCCTTAAGAAAGTAATGTGTGGAGTTTTGGGTTTACTCGTGGGATGAGCTCATGGGGCTCATAGAGGCCTCTTAACAGCGATTCAGGGTTTAGGGTTTAGGGTTAAGGGTTTAGGGTTTAGGGTTTAGGGTTTAGGATTTGGGGTTAGGATTTGGGGTTTAGGATTTGGGGTTTAGGGTTTAGGATTTAGGGTTCCTGGCTCCAGGTACGTCTGCGTGCACCCGATCACCATCACGGATAGCTTGGCAGGACACCTAGGTGTTTGGGTGCCATGAACTGCTGTGGGCTTTATAGGACACAGGGTTTAGTGGGTTTAGGGTTTAGGGTTTAGGGTTTAGGGTTTAGGGTTTAGGGTTTAGGGTTCAGGGAGGATTTTCCCCACACAACTACCCATCTGCCACCCACACCAAAGTGCGACCAAGCACGTAGTCCTCAAAGTTCGCAAGACGCCTGCAACCTTAAAGCCTAAACCCTAGACCCTAAACCCTAGACCCTAGACCCTAGACCCTAAACCCTAAACCCTAAACCCTAAACCCTAAACCCTAAACCCGAAACCCTAAACCCTAACCCCCCAAATTCCTAAACCCTAAACTTAAACGTAAATCCTGGACCCTAAGCCCTGGAGAACCTGACAGGTACAGGGCTTGACTAGGTCGTCGTGGTATGGCGTTTCGAACCCCATCCCTGCCCTCTAAACCCTGCCTTCAGAACCTAAAACCTACTTTTTTCTGTAGGCTTTTGCTATAACATCCTGTTGAATGTCCAGACCCTCCACGAGCCCATTGCCCAGGTGCTTCGCTTCTTCTTTTCCGACTTGTGGTTCAAAGGCATGCAGCACGAGTACATAACCCGAACATGCTTGAAGCACTCAGTAGGGATGTGCTTGGAAGGGGCTGCATGCACCACAAACACATAGCTTTCAAGAAAGATTTGTAAGTCTGGCTTTGTATAGCACTTGTCAGCTTGCTTTTGTTCTTTCTTCTCTTCTGAGTCCGAGCGTGTTCGCTAGCTGAGAGAAAAGCCATAGGCCGCTCTGCGCTGTGCAGTCTGGGAGACTTTGGGCGATTGGAGTTTCGGAGGTTTTCTTCGGCAAAGAATACAAGGTTCGAGATTTCGGAGGAGGACTCAGTCCACATCGAAGGGGTGCTCTTCGCTGGGGACCTGTTTGAGCCATCAACAGGTTATGAGTGCCCAATCCGCTTCGGCGGTGCGGGGCTCCGCTACAGGGCCTCTGATGAATGGTCGCGGGCACCAGTCGTCGGTGGCGCCAAGCTATGGGGCTGCTTCTGAAGCTGGGTCTACAAGTGGTGTGGGCTTGGATGCTGGAAGCAGTTTGCCGCAGGACACGAGGATGGCCTCCGGCTGCAGATCTGGCAATGATCTGCAGCAGGGGTCCATCTCTGGCTCTGGAGGTGGTGGTACAGCTACACCTTTGGAGGTTGTGAATGACCTGAGGGCGGCAACCGATGGGGGCGAGGCCCCAGATACCGGTTTGCCCCCTGGAGCAGGCAACAACAGTTCAGAACTACCCGAAGGACCTTTGGAGAGCGCACGGCGAGCTGTAGGACAGATCTGGCAAGCGGTGCAGGTGGCAGCTGGACACCCTGCTATGGCTTCCCGACCTCCTATGAACGATGGAGGAGAGCCTGGGGAAGTGGAAACGTATTTGAGTGCTGGCTGGGATGGGTCACGGGATGATTCGAGGTCTCCCTCCCCACCACGTGGGCCTCCCCCCGCTCCAGCCGAGGTGACGTTGCAGCAGCCACTGTTTCCACCTGAAGTCCTGAGCCAGATTGAGACGATGAATCGCGAGGCACCTTTGCTTTCTGGGTTTGGGAGTCCTGGAAGAGAAGCTGGAAGGCCTGAGTCGTCGGATTCAGCTGGTGTGAGCAGTGGGGCAGTTCAGGCCGAAGTGCATCGACAGCTGGAGGTCATGCGAAGAGAGCATAGTGCGCTTGTACAGGGACGAGCTAGGGAGAATGAGTTCCTAAGGGACCGTCTCGCTAATGCTGTAGCTGTAGCAGAACGGGAGTCATGGAGAACTAGCACAGTAGGTAAGGTTTGGGGTTGGTTGGGTGAGAACTTCAAGGGATTGGGTTCGGGTCCTCGGCAAACCCTCAACCAACCAGGCGCAGGTTTTCCCCCGGTTGCAGCTCAGGGTACGAGACCCTTGCACGTCCCAGGCGTGCCAGGTTCCTTAGGTGCAGCATTTCCCTCGATTGCAGCTCAGGGTATGCAGCCCTTGGAGCATGTCCCAGGCGTGCCAGGTCCGGCATCCTTCCAAGCCGTGCCAGGTCCATCAGGCTTTGCATTTCCCCCGATTGCAGCTCAGGGTCTGATGCCCTTGGAGCATGTCCAGCATTTCCCTCGGTCGCAGCTCAGGGTATGAAGCCCTTGGAGCATGTCCAAGCCGTGCCAGGTCCAGGTGCAGCATTTCCCTCGGTCGCAGCTCAGGGTATGATGCCCTTGGAGCAAGTCCCAGACGTGCCAGGTGCATCAGGTGCAGCGTTTCCCTCGGTCGCAGCTCAGGGTATGATGCCCTTAGAGCATGTCCAAGGCGTGCCAGGTCCAGGTGCAGCATTTTCCTCGGATCGCAGCTCAGGGTACGAATCCCTTGGAGCATGTCCGAGGCGTGCCAGGTCCAACAACCTTCCCAGCGCGAGGCTTAGGTGCGGAGCAGGTCCTGACGGCATCCCAAGGTGCAAGACCGTGTGAGAAAGGGGCTCCAGGTGTAGGTCCACAGGTCCAAGACGTAAGCGCTAGGAGTCCTGAGGTCACGAACTTACTGCAAGGCCTGCAAGCTGTCCTGCGGGGAGGGGAAGGTTCACCCACGAGTGCCGAGCAGGTCAAGTACCATTGGCAGGAACTTCCTAAGTTGAAATTGGGGCTGAGGCATCGTTGGCATTCATGGATTGGTTGCACCTTTGCGCGCCCTGTGTGGAGGACATGTCCAGCACATCGGCTGACTATTGGGCATGCTTGTGCAAGGAAGCAGAGAGATGGTATGCTGGATTCATATCGGCCGATCCTGTCACCCGTTTGACTCTAAACCCTGTCCCGAGTTACGAACTCCAGGATGTAAGATGGTCCAGGTTGGCAAAAAGGTTGGAGTCGCTCCTAATTGCAGCCTGTCCTGGGGGAATTCAAGGTTCACCTTTGGGATTAGAAGGGGGTTCTACTACCCCAAAAAGGTTACGAGGTTACCTAAGCCCTAAACCGGCAGAGGGTTTTTTTTTTGCAAAGGTGTGGCTCGGCCCTGTCCTCTTGCAAAGCCAAAGTCCGTCAAGGAAGAACTCGTGGCAGGGAGGATCAAAACTCCTCTGGGGATCATCTGCCGACTGTATTCTCTGTATGCCCCTGGTGGAGTCTCGGAACGAGAGCAGGGGATTCAGTTCCTTCAATCTCCTGCACAAGCATCATCGCCGCACCAAGCCACTGAAGTCCTCCGGAAGTGGAAGCGTTGGCTACTGCGAACTCAAGCCTTGGGAGGAACCACTCCTGATCCAGTGATCCTTGTAAAGGCCCTAAATACGATAGTTAAGGGTGTGCTTGAGGGGGCTCCCGAAGCTCTCTTTAGGGTTAATCTGGTTCGAGCCGCCTTGAAGGTTGAAGTTGCGCCAAGCCAGGAGTCGGTCGTTCAGCTCCATGCTGCCCTTACTGCCGAGGTTGAAGCGCTCGGAAGGGTCACTCCGAAGGCCAAGGCGCCCCCTCCTCAGGTTGCAGCGGTGGATAACCCGACAGCTCCAGCATCGTCTTCGCAAGCACCAGGCCCTAAAGGAAAGGGGAACCCTAAGAACCTTGCCCCAGGACCCCCGACGGTTAACCCTAAGAGTCCTCCGCCGCAGCCTGGTTCCACAGGGAATAAGTGTCGGTTCTTTCTGCAGGGTCAGGGTTGCCGTAAAGGGGAAAGGTGCCAAGACTTGCACGAGTGGAAGGAGATTCCTGCGAATGAGCGTAGTGAAAGATGTATGGCTTGTGGAGGAAGGATTGCCCGAACAGCAAAGCCGGAAGGGCCGGGGGTCCACCTCCCAAGAACCCTAAGACCTCACCTCCACCAAAGGGACCTGAGTTGAAGGCTGCAGCTCCCTCGCCCAATGCCAACCACGTCACAGCTCTCCTTGAGGATGCTGCCAAGGTTCTCAAGGCAGTCCAGCCCAAGGAACCCTCCGGGGTACCTGTCGTTGAAGCACAGCCCATTCCATCAGCGTCGCAAGCTCCTGTCGCCCAAGGAGTTCCTGTTTCGGTTGCGACCCTTCAGGCCCACCTCGATGCGATCCGCCAGGCGATCCCTGATGGACAGCCTAACATCAGAACTGCGCAGGTAGCAAGCACTGACCCCTCGCCTTGCGAGGTAGACCAGGGTGAAAGGACTGGCTTGCTGGACCCCATGCGTTCTCGAGAGCCTAAGGACACCAACACGTCTCGCACTGAGGTCACTCTGGCCGGAGGGGTGACGAGGGTGATGGAGCAAAATTCCTCCGGAACCATCCTGGTTGAGCCGGGATCGCAGCCCATCGTCCCGGTTGGAGCTTTGATCCAGGAGCTAGGATGCTCTTTGACATGGTCTGGGAAGAAGGCCACCTTGGTGCATCCGCTTCATGGGAAGATCCCGCTTCGTGTCCGCCAGGGTTGTCCGATCTTGGCAGAGACCAGAGCTTTGGAGCTCATCCATGAGCTTGAAGAAGCTAAGCTGGCAGAGTTCAACACTGAGGTGGAGGAGCTTCAGGCCATCCTAAGAGGCTTAAGTGCACCGAAGCCACTGAAGGCTAGGGTCAAGGAAGCTAGGGAAACGGGTTCCAGGGTTGAGCTCCTGCAAGCTGCGACGGCAACAGGCCTCTTTGCGAAGGAGCACCTTCCTCTCCTGGGAGTAACCTCCCCATCCACAGCCACCATGTGCGACACGTCCTAAAGGCCCTTCAGCTGCCAAGGAGAACCAGGCGAACGCTAGAGAGCTCTAAGGACTGGGTGCTAAGGTTTGTTAGGCAAGACTTCGGGGACGATCCTTTGGATGCTTGGTGTAATCCCATAGTAACCATCAACCTGAGCAAGCAGCACCGCGAGGCCCTGACTCCTGGAAACAGCATCGCTCAGATTCTTCTGTGGGCCGCCGTCCATGGTCGAATTGCTGGGGTAGAGGGTGAGCTTGGCCCCAATCTCAGTCTGGTCCCGTTGTTGCAGTGGTTGTGGACCCTTTCGTCTGTTGTTAGGGGTTACACGGTTCCGTTGGCGGTGATGTCGTCGTCGG